TTGTAAAATGCCCATTTCTTTTAAAAATAACAACAAAGTTATTCTAAAATTTCATAAACATGCTATTCTAAGTCCAATTTTGTCAATTTAATATTAAATATTTAATCTACAAGATAAATAATGAAGAATATTTGAGTTTTTAAATTTGATCCTGATCTTGATCCTGATCCTTAAATTTTTGTGAACACAGGGCCTGACTGTCATTGGTTCGAGTCAGGCAGTTTCAGTCAGGGTCTAAAAGTGTTTTTCAACTGACACAATGCTTGATTCATTTAACAGATTGTAATAAAGTTGAAACGGACAAAAGCAGTATTGAATGCATGATACTTTTAGATCTACAAAAGGCATTTGATAAGTTGATCACACCTTACTTCGCGTGAAACTTCAAACATCTGGCAAAGGTGATGACAGTTTTACATGGTTCAAGTCTTATCTCTGATAGACAGCAGCTTGTGGTTGTGGCTGATACTCATTCTTTTACTGCTCCAAGTACCTATGGTGTCCCCAAGAGGTTCATTTAAGGGCCACTTTGACATGTATGAATCATAAGCAATTAGCAATTTGTTATATGCTGATGACTCAGGCATCCTTGTATCTGGTAAAATAAATCTGAAGAAATTCTATTTTATGACAAGAGTCTAATTATTGATTGGTGAAATTGACTATAAATTGGCTTTGCATCTTGGCAAGACAGAGTTTATTCTTTTGGGTTCAAGTTTCAACTTAAACATGGTCCTAGCCACAAGTAATGGTGCTGATATAAAGTCCACATCTTCTGTTAAATATTTAGGTCAAATATATTTTGGCATCGCCTTTGATGCTTTGTATCAATGCTTTTCTTGTGTATCTGTTCTTTAGTGATTTAAGAAATCTAAGTGAAATCACGGAATAATCTGGATTATGGGTTACGTGATTATTTTGTAATACAGGTCATATAATTACCGCGATTAAAGTTTATGTGATAATTTGAAGAACGAGGACACATTTCGTGTGATTTGAGTAATATGACTTGAATTTATCTTCAAAGTAGTATGTGGACCTTTAATGATAGCCATTCAAAGTGCACATATCATTTTCTTTCCAAATCCAATTTAGTTTGTAGCTAATTTGTCGACTGCATTAGTTTAAAACCTGAATAAACTTTGCAAGTAACTTCATATCACATCAACCACTGAAGACAATAGACTTAAGGTATAACCACCCTAACGGGCACTCTAAGGAAATGGAAAATTGACAACATTGGTCAAGTATATACCTTAAAGGACAATTCAAACAATGAACTTTTAAATAATCTACCATATCATCCTTATGAAAAATGTTTTCCCATTAATTTATGGTATGAAACAAATAGTACCATTCACCTAACAATCCACATATGCACAATGTACGTTTCTACAAATTTTTATGAGATATGTATAAAATGTTACCCTACCCCACCCATATTTAAGACGTGTGTGTTTGACCATTTTCCTACTTAGAGAGCCTTATTTAAAAAGTCCCTAAAGTTTACCAAGGTGTTTTTAAAGTTCCCTAAATTTTCTTAAAAGTATATTGGTTGATCTTGTAAAATTTTTAATACTTTTACCGTCTAGTTATGCTTTTATTACACTTTGAAAATACCAGGTACCATATCTGTTATTAGATTAAGCATTATTTAGCCATAATTAAATTATTAAAATTAAACACTTTTTTTCCCAAAAGGGGTATAAGAGATACATAAATAATGTAAAGAGATAAAAAGAAAGAAGAAAAAAGTTTGAACCAACGGCCCTAAATTTCAATGTAGTTAGCAGTAGTTATACTCTTCAACGCGGAGGTAATACGTTAGGATGGTCAAACCTTAAAGGCTTTTGTGTACATAAAACAATCTGTTTTAAGTTTTACATAGCATAACAATCTTTGAAACTATTGAAGGTACAACTTACAACTTAAAATATGTCTGAAGGATAATATTTGAAGGTCATTATCCAAAAATCGTAACTTGCATTTGAACTAAATTATAGCCACAAAAAATTCTTTGTTAACGTATTCGTTCAAGAACTTATAGGATTGCATTGTTCACTTCATTTGTATCTCCAACGTAATCTTTATACATGTCGATGGGTCGATAATTTATCAAAGAGTAGTCCAAAATTGATTTTTAATAATTTGATGTACTGAAAAAAGATTTTTCTTTAACAAACGTGTCTCCTTAAAGTTTAATGAAGTAGGCAAATGGAAGGAAAAATCTTCTTTAAGACAACAATAGATAATAACATAATTATATACATGAACATTATAAAACAAATTTAATAAAGTTTGTTTACAAACTTGTTTGGTTTAATCATCATACGCAGCTACTTGTGATCAATTCAAATTAAATAATCGTAAAAATATCAGGATTAAGAAGTAATCATTTTAGAGCATACCGTCAAGACAATAGATATTAATCATTCGTGTTAAAAGTTATTGTCACTCGTGTTGAAAGTAATATTTCATGCTGCCTTCATATATCATTTGTAAACATATATGGTTGATGTTTGAAAAGTGTTGGGATGGTGGGGCATCTTTATTTATTTACTGATTGTTGATAACAAATACAATAAAACTACAGTTATTTTGGAAACATTTGTGTATTACTTCACTTCAGCGTTGTTATATTTTTCTGATCCTTCGGGATCATTGAGACAAGCATTGTAGGTGTTGAGAATCGAGTACCGCTCAAGCCGGTGCTAGGGGGCGTGAGGGATGTTGCACTTATTCATTATCCCTCATGTACAGACTCAATCAAACCGAGTCTGCAATTCTTATTAGTCCCCTACCGGTTTACCGGAGGGGACTTTAGGTTTACCCTCCGTCCGTCTGTCCGTCCGTCTGTCTGTCAGTCCGTCCGTCCACAAAACTGGATCCCGCGATAACTTGAAAAGTACTGAAAATATTTTTATGAAACTTGATATATGGATAGATGGCAGTATGGAGATTATGCACGTCTTTTTCTTTTCCTCCTATGTTGAAAATTCTGGTTGCTATGGCAACAAATAGGCTGAAAATATGGCAAATTTTACACATAAACTGGATCCAGTGATAACGCAAAAAGTACTGGAAATATTTTTATAAAACTTGATATATGGATAGATGGCAGTATGGAGATTATGCACGTCTTTTTCTTTTCTTCCTATGTTGAAAATTCTGGTTGCTATGGCAACAAATAGACTGAAAATATGGCAATTTTTACACATAAACTGGATCCAGTGTTAACGCAAAAAGTAATAGAAATATTTTTTTGAAACTTGTACGGTAATATGTGTAGATGGCAGTCTGAAGATTATACACGTCTTTTTCTTTTCTTCCTATGTTGAAAATTCTGGTTGCTATGGCAACACATAGACTGAAAATATGGCAAATTTTACACATAAACTGAATCCAGTGATAACTCAAAAAGTACTTGAAATATTTTTATGAAACTTGACATGTGGGTAGATGGCAGTCTTAAGATTATGCATGTCTTATCTGTTCTTCCTATTTTGAAATAATATTGGTTGCTTTGGCAACAAATAGGCTTTAAACATGGCAAATATAACAATATTTGTGATAAGTCAAAAAGAGCTGAAATTTTTTATGAAATTGCATCTTTAATTCCAGAGTTATCTCCTCTTTAATAATTTTGCTTTTTAAAATGTTATATTTTGGTAACAGGGATGTTTCAAATATTAACTTTAGAGTGTCCTTCAGTCCGTCTGTCTGTCTGTTCATAAAAACTTTTTCCTGTGATCACTTTTAAAGAACATTTCCAACAAATTTACTTAAAATAGAGAAAAATTTAAACATTAGTGAATGGCCAATGGCCCTTCAGAATGCTGATGGGGTTCTAACCGGTAGGGGACTTATGGATTGCTTGCAATACTATGATAATTGCTTGTTTAATTTGTTGTGATTAATGCTTCCAAGGGATCACTTTGTTTCCAGATTTTTTTCTGTCGTTACTATAGTATAAGGATGAACGGGGATTTTTTAAGATTTGATAAAAGGTGTCTGTAACACATTTTAAAAGAACGTTTTGTGTATCACATGTTTCTGAGATCGTCTTCATTCCCAATATTTAGGGTTAATTACTTATTGCCAGACTTTGAATAAAAGGATAAATAATAAAGGTTATTTCAAATGATGTAAAATAGAGTAACCATAATTATACTTTTTTGCCTTTCCTTTAGGAGTTGAAAGCATAATGCATTGTATAGATTTGTGATATAAACAAGTACATTATACAAAATGCTACGAGTTCAGGAAAATGTCATCATACAATTTGTCTCAAACTTTAACAGATCACATCTGGATATTCAATATGAAAATCAGTTTATGTTGATAATAGGACAGACAAATAAATATCTGGAAAAAAGTTATCCCTCGGAAGCACTAAAACATCCAAATTACAAGAAAATTGAAGACTCGATTTGATTCAGTCTGTACATGAGGGATAATGAAAAAGTGCAACATCCCTCACGCCCTCTAGCACCGGCTTGAGCGGTACTCAATTCTCAACACTTAAAAGAGCTGGACTCAATGATACCGACGAACCAGAATACGCAAACGCACACACACACACACACACACACACACACACCAACACACACACGCGCGCGCGCACACACACACACGCACGCACACATATACACGCACGCACACATACACACACACACGTGTATGAAAAGGTTTTTTTGGGAATTCTAACATTATGGAGAGAGGGATGAATTTGATTGGGGTACGAATGCTCTAGGACTTTTCGGGATGTTTAACAATTCGGATCATTTAATTATTTAGGAATTTTCCATTTCACAGATGTTATCATTTAAAGTACTTGCAGGTTCTTAAGTATCATCAAAGACTAGTGTCATCAGCAAAAAGGAGAGTAGAAGTTATTTTTTAAGAAATTGATTGCTTTGAAACACTGAAATGAATTATAAAAAATGTAGACATAGTTAAAATGTAGAACTAAAAATGATAAGCAAAGTGCAAGATTTTAAGTCGTTAAGTTTAATAATGACAAAACAGTAGAATCATTTCACAATTGTCAACCTTTTATCTAGTCCAAATTACGTCAAATATCCCTAAAGCGATTATTAAAGATAAGGTTTTATATTTCTGTTTGCTGTTCTTTTGTTTCTAAAACTTCTTTTTGTTGATTTGATTTCCTCCTAGCATTTGCCGCTGTTTTTTGGAGATAGTCTGCGCCAAAGTCTACAGCCTTTTGCAGTGCTAGCAGCAACGGTATATTTTTGTTTTCATCGGTTTCTGTTTCATCTGTGTAATTCTTGATTGGAAAAACCTGGTTTAAAGGAACTCTAAAGACAGACGCTGCTCTCTCGACGACCTTCTTTATGTTGTTGCTGTGAAATATTTTCGTTATATCTTCTTTAGTATCGTCACAAATTGTGTCTATCTTAGTTACAAGTACTATCCTATCCTGCACTGTAAAAAACAACAGAGGTAATCATGGGAAACAAGAAACTATGTGACATATTAAAAAAAACAAGCACTCGCCAAGTCTCGTTTCCGAGGAATCGACCACAATCGCCTTTGAGTTTTCAATAAACTATTTATTCAATGGGACATTATATTTAAACCTTAATAAACTTTTCTAGAATCAACTACTTGAGATAATATACTTAAATTTGACTTATAGGCTTTTGTGTTCATATATCACCCTGTTTTATGGTACTAACAAGTTAAAATATGTCTGAAGGATAATTATCCAAGATAGTTATATCATTAGTTTCGTTATTCTCTTGTAAAATCAAAGCAGACGGGTGATGTACAAAAAGATCAACTATAAGTCGTACGTTTGCATACAAGATAAGAAAATATCTACAGAAAAAATATTTCGTCACCTGTGTTTTGGAAAAAGCCGAATTAAAAGTTTCTTGAAATAAAAAAGAAAAAACAGGAACCTACTAGTTAATCTCAATTGTGACTCTATTTCTTGCATTCTCTTCTGGACAGGCTGAATGATTTCTTGAAAAATTGATTCAGCATCAACACAGTACATTACACAATGTACTTCCTGATCCATAAAATTTCCCGCTACTTTCTTCTTTGTACGAGGATCAAACTAAAGCAGAACAAAAAACATACTGCTAAAATAAAATGCATGTATATCAACATTGTAATAAATGATTTAATCGTTTTTCTACATAGTATAAATTTGCATATTAAAATTCCATTTAGTTTGAAAATAACTTATTTTGCTTCTACCAAACAATGATATCATAACTGTTGATTATATAGCGCTCAAATTATATACGTGCATACCAACAGGGAACTAGAAAACGATAGTTGCCGATCAAACATTTTTCAATGAACGAAAATATAGATCTTTATATACTATCATCAGGTACATATTACATTAATGCCACTTTACGCAATTAACAACAGGAAATAAGCTTTTACCGTCAATGCAATAAAATATCTCAGGACAAGGACACTGACATCATTTGTTTTGTGTTAGACGTCTGACTGATAACTTTTGATGTATACCATAGTTTTGTGTTAAGGTTTAAACGAAACAAAACAAAAAACACTACGATTACCATGGTGTGATTAAATTGGATTTGAGATATGACCAGATTACAAAGAATTACTAAATAATTCACAATTTACTAGATAGTTGTCTTCAATCTCTCCATTAATGCAACTTTGTATGTCTTCATTCATTAGTCCTTGGTTTTGCACTCCCTCAACCCCCATAATATCGAATAGAACAACATCGTTTAGTTCCTTTTCTCCTGGGAATGATTCATACTGAAATAAAATTAGAAAACCATGCTCTTATGGAAAAGTGAAGCTTAAATATCTTTATGTTATTGTTTGTTCTGATCAACAAAAATAAAATAGTTAATCATAAATAACAGAGGTTAGTCTTTTCCTGCATCCGAACGTTTTCCTAATGGAAAGTGTCAAAGTTCCTAAACAAAGTCAGCGGTGGTAAAAACTTAAGTTTGAACCGTAACTTTGAAATTAAGTGTCTTAAGAAGTAAGTGTGAAGATTTTAACAGCAAGTTTGATAAGGATCTTCTATAGTTATTGCGTTTGGAAATAATGTTAAATTGACTGACAAAGATAATGATATTCTATTATAATTGAGCCTTTAGCAAGACCACCTTACCATCCTACCATATGGGGTTCTGTGGAGTTTTGGCCGGGGCTCACAGGGGCCAGCTGGAAATTGTAAGATATGAGCTAAAATGATCATTTTGAGATTTGAATTATGAACATGATCTATTAAACATATCTATTTTTACAAATTAGCTCTTGCTAATTGCACGAAAAGAAGAAATTCAGACAAATTTCAGCTTCTTGTGGTTAAAATACTTGCAACTGTGTATTAATTACTATGATTTTAACTCCTTACTGATTCAAAATGAAGAATCAAGTTGAATTATGGACCTGGTTTGCTTATTTGATTATAGGTCTTATTTTCACTGCGATTTTAAAGGGAGACACAGGCAAAATTTTCATATCTTCGATTTGAATTTTTCATCCAATATTCTATAAATGTCGTAGAAATGAATACCCTCAGCAGTTGAGGGAACAAAAATTTTCTCCATATAGAGAAAAAATGTTAGTTTCCTAACCTGACTCACGTGGGTCAGGTTTCATGCTAGTTATCACAGTGAACAATAAGTAAACGTAAAAGAACCTGTCTAATGAGTACTAATGAGTACTCATTGAACGCCGCCTTTCCTTGTTGATCTTGTTTCTTCAATCTTACAAAATCCACAATATCTGGGTTTTTTTAACTTCCAGGGTTTGTTATTGTCAAATGACTTGTTTAAAAACTACTTGTTGATTTTGTCTGTGTCTTCCTTTCGTTCAACATTGTTGACATTTTTACATTTCAAACTCATATTATTGTATTTATACAGAAAAAAATAACATGCTGGGACTTCCGTGCTCTGCCTTGCACCCTGTCCTGTTTTTGACCCTTGGCTCCTTGTCGCTGGTTCTTGTTGCTGGCTCGTGTTTTTGATTAAATATGATTAAATATGATAAATTTGATATCTTGTCATTCATTCGCCTGAGTATCCCTTAAAGACTTGTTTTAGTCATAATCTTGGTGGTCAGGGAAACTAACCGGCTTCACTGGATTACAAACCAGTCCGTAGCCAACTACTTATTCCACATGATTTCAGAATCAGCGGTGACAAAGTGCTCTTAATATAAATCTATTCTGGCCTTTAATTTAAATAACAATAGATTTAACATTGACAAGCGTTCTTTTGTTAACAAACATATTGTTGTGAAATTTCTATTTAAAATATTTAAATGCTAATAAGATAGTTTGAATCAGAAAGTTAAGGGTCATATAGGGATCTATAAATTAGACGCAAAATCAGGTGTGTCGGAGATGAACCATTTCGCCCAAACCAGCGACCCCTGGTTACCAATTCGATGCTTTCCATACTGAACAAAGCGGGCGAACAGTTGTGATTGTTATACTCATGACGGCCAAATGTGTGTACAACTTGAGCAAATGTATCTATCTTTACAGAGAATAGACCACAAATTATTTTTTTTTTTTATAATTAACTTTCAAAAACACCTTTAAAAAGTAAGCTTATAAAACGAATTCATACCCTCTGTGTGTATGAAGTATCACTACTCCCAGACTTTGCCCGCTTACAGATTTTTCCATGAAGAACTGAGTATATAGAATTGATTGTCGAGGATTTTCCGCTTTGAACATAACCAAGCATCATGATATTTACGTGTTTAGCAGTCACACCATCTACTTCTTTCAATACATGCTCTGTAGTTTCTTTTATATTTTCCAGTTGTGTTTTATAATACTACAACAAGAAATAACCTTACAAATAAGCTACAAAAGAGAAATAAGACGATCAAATTATTATTTTCACAAAAAATAACAAAACAAAATCTATATGCATCACGCTGACACTCATTGTTCATTTAGGATGTTTTTATTCCAAAATTAATCACCTTACCTATTTATTCTTGATATAATGCCCATACGCGTTAAGCAAAGTGAATGTTAACAAAATGTACGCAAATATGGTCTCATATTCTTCATTGAATAATTTAATGTGCTACGGTGCAATAAATATATACAGGAAATATAAAGTAATAACGTTATCATTTTTTCTCAATCATATTTTGACTATACAGGTAGTACCGGTTTTCTCTTTTCGTCGTTTCCGTCCCATTCTTCTGTATTGTTCACCCACCACCCACCATTTTTTAAGTCTTTATATTCTCTCCATGGTTTATCTGCTGCTGGCTCTTTCAATTTTGTTTTTGCAAAAGGATTCTTGAACAGCCTCCGCTTTGCTATACGCATAGAGAAAAATAATATTTAAGTTTGTACTTTATCTGTGGTATTCAAATTTTGTGAACAACATGTTAGAACTCTCTTTTATATCATAGACAGGTATTATTTAATATGATTTTATTGTTGCAATGCAGTCGTGGCACTATAAAATAACGATGGTTGGTTTATATGTAAAGCAAAATGAAGTATAGCTTTATAATTTACACAAATGTAGCTTGTGATTCTTTTGTTTGTGTTAACTATGCTATGCTTAAAAGCATAAGCTTTCAAATGTTGTGTGTAGTCAATCAAATACGAACTTTAGTCACATTTAAAAATACTTTACACTAATAACTTCATGCAAAATATGGCCGGATAAATATAACGCGTGCGTCACCGACTAAGTTATACGCTTCTTAAAATAAAACAAAACGCTTTAACAGTTACAAATAGAAACAGGTCGCTATGGTTATAGTAGAATGGAACAAAATCAGACATTATATGATTTGTTACAGTGGTGATCTTGAAGATGAATATAATTTTACCACCACTAAACATGCTTTCAAATCACACCATGATCTTAAATTGATTCAACCGATTATGAATTTCATTCACATTTGAAAATACCTTACACAAATAATAAAATGTAAAATATGGCTGGTCAACGCACAGTAAGATGTGCAGTAAGACGGGCTTACATACAAGCTCGAGCAAAACTAGGGCTATGTGCTAGATTTTTTGTATGATTTTTGTGATGCAACTGTTTCGAGGTTGGTGCATACCCTGAAAGAACCCTGTTAATCTGGTAGAAAGCATTCCATAGTCTGAAATAAACATTCATAAAGGCAAGCTTATTATTTAAAATAGGGCACAAAACTGCCAGATTGATAACTCAATAGCTAACATCTGATCAGAAAAGGACTGTAGTGGGCCCGAAAATTACTGAACTTATTTTCTATACATTTGTATACCAGTCGCCGTTTTCTATTGTGACTGGCCATAAACGCTGGTTATACTATTTAACGCCAGTGTAAAGTGAACAACAAAATGATTTCGCTACCAGTAATGTTAGTCGACAAATGAATTGCCTTGCAAAAGTTATGGCATTTAGTAACCGTGGAACGATTGTTCAAATTCATTGTCTGTTACATTCAAGTATAATAGGAATGCCGCGTAAAGAAAAAATTTAAGACACAGTTCGTCCTTCGACGGGTATGAAAGGCCCGTATTTTCTGCATGACAGCGCTCCTGCGCACAAAAAGCTCTTTCATTAATTTTGATATTTTTTTCGAGAAAAAAAAACAAGTGACTGTCCTCAAACATCCACCGGAGTTTCAAGACTTTGCACCTTGTGACTTTTTTTCTCTTCATACACTGACAATAAGCAGGTATTCGTTACACGAGTATAAATGGTCTTTGGTAGGCCATTTTTCAGTTATTGAAAGGTATATGTAAGGCATATATTTAAAGATGGAAATGTCTGAAAATTTTGTAGAAGTGGAAAATATCGAATGGTTGAAATAGTAAAAAGTAAAATATTTGCTCTTTTGTATTTTTTTTTTACCTTATTGCATTACATATTGATTCAACCTCGTACCTATTCACAATTTGTAACAGGTATGGCTAATAAATATTAAAGAATACGTTTGGATAATTTACAATGCCACTTCTGTTTTAAAATGTATACTTTACTAACTGACAAATGGAACTCGTTTAATACCATCGGAACTTACTATAATTTATAATAAATTTTGGTGTTAAAAAAGTGTGTGCAAATAAATAATTTTTATTCTAACTGAGAACAAATTTAAATATAGACACGTCTGTTTTAAAATGTATAGTTTACTAACTGAAAAATGGAACTCGTTTAATACCATCTTAACTTACTATAATTTATAATAAATTTTGGAGTTAATAAAGTGTGTGCAAGTAAATATTTTTTATTCTAACTGAGAACAATTTTAATATAGACACTTTATTTTTTGCAAATTCTATGTCTATGCTTATATACGTTGAAGATCTTAAATTATATATTAGGACTTTGTGAACAGTTATACTCTCCCACTCTATTGTAAACATTTTTTTAAGTTCCCGTTTACTTGTTTTTAGACACAAATATATACATTATACTCATATGTACGCCCTCCTACATATTCAGTGTAAGCAAATACTTGACTTGCTATTATAACCTTTTATTATGCCCTAGAAACCAATGATTAGAATAGTTTCATATCTTATCTGATAAATTGTACCATATACGATGCGATAACAATAAGAACATTTACGTGTTACAACTTTGAGGCCGTTTTATCTTGATTTTGAGCAAATTACTTTAACTTACTGATCTGATGCATGCACATATATAACTTTATTTGCAAATTCATGCTATTTACTTTACGTAATGTTAATTCACTTAAGTATAAATACACATTTCACTCAACTTAAGTATTGAATTATTTTTACTTAATTGGTTGTAGAAATAAAACCAAGGTTGAAGAGAACTAAATTACAATAATAAATAAGGCTTAGACCACAAAATAAGACCCTGCCACAAAATGCCCAGATAAGCTTTTCGTGTACAAAGCATTGAAAACATCAATAACTTGCTATATTAAAACATCAAATATACTTCATGCTTATGAAATCAATGAATAAAAGCGTCAGAGTGCATTTGCCTTTGAGGTTTAAAACAAGCGGCAGGAATTGTTTGTTACAAAAGCAGATGTTTTGCCAAAAGCAATAAAATGTCAGGGCCACTGTGCATGTCACATTATATTCGTGTATTACTTACATATCAACGGACAACATAACCTGCTAAAAATTCCTACAAAAGCGCTTCTGCATTCAGGGGCTGCGCTTTTGTATTTCTATTTACATGGAAAGAAGTACATTTTTGTCAAAGCCTTTTAACATCACTTATGAATCAAAGTCATACTTGAATTATTCAACATCGCGTTGTTGTCATTCCTACATCTATTAATTACAGTTCCAAAGTTCTGTTCTATATAAAAATTGCATTTGATTTTATAGATAATGTAACGGTCGATGTCGTCCTTGGTTTATTAAATTGTCAGTTTGCCATGATGAACAATGTACTTTGTCCCAGTAAGTGTCAGTTATCCATTGATTACAAAGTTTAAATTATTCAACTCGTATGTAATGTCAATAATGTTGTCCTGTCCAAGTTTTCACCAAACAGTCAATTAATTCAAATAAAATCAACATGCTGATTTGCCATGGGTAATGTTTTGTCAAAGAATAAGATTACCCATTGTCAGTAAGTAATGTTTTTGCAAAATTCAAAAATTTGACCTTAAAGATTAAAGTAAAGGAAATTCAATTTATCTTCTTAAAAGAAGTTATGTAAAGCGTAAGAACATTCTGTAAGCATAAAATATAGAACATTATGATTGTAAACAATTAATGTTACTTCCCCATTTTGCCCAAACTCAACTCTACGACTACAGAGACGCAAATTCTAGTTCAAAAGACTGACGTAGTGCTACAAAGGATTAAGATGTACTTGTATCCGAACTATTTTTACAACTTTTACATGAAAGATGAAATGTGCTAATGCCATTTTCGAGAAGATTTGAGGTTGTATTATATCTACAGTTACTTCCGCTTTAATTTTGACGTGTTGGTTATTTACAAATAATACATACATGTTAGAGACTGTTTATTATAAGTATTAATCGACGTATTCATGTACATATATTGTTTAGTGTTTAACTGCAAGATAGTCCGTATTCCCGGAAATGCTGTTGTGTGCTAAAACTTTCATAAAGCACATTAACTAAGACAATCACGATAAATGTAGGATTTTTTTTCATTTTGTTGATTTTATTGTTTTATTGTTTTGTTTGTGATTATGCAGATTTTGAAAAGTTACTGATATGAGAGTTATAAAATCACGTCAATACCTCCAAGACAGGGCAATGTTTTACTTGAGGGCTTTTATTTAAACATTCTGTGTAGAGGTCCGCACATATTTAAGCTCTTAGCTTTTGCGGGTTCAGAAAAGGATTTGTTTATGTTTTCATATTTTGGCCATTTAATTGTTCGTACATGATGGCATCTGGATGCTTTAAGAAATGAATATGATCTACTTGGGACACAAATTCTGTGCAAGTTTCACTTAAATAAATAAATGTTTAAAACTGTTATCGTGCGGACAAGGCCAAAAATGCTTATTTTGACAATCATTATGGTCTACTGATGATACAAGTTGTATGCAGGTTTGATTTAAATGAAATAATAGGCTGTTTTGTGCAGGCAAATTGTGAACAATCGGACTTCCGGGCGATCCTAAAAGCTCACATGAGTATAACATGCAACGTATCCATGTGATCTAAAATATTTCATTTTATAGATAAACTTATTTTACTTCGCAAATTTGGTCATACTGAGCATGTTTTGAATACCGGAAGGGTTTGTCTAAGTATCAGTGTCAAAACGTAAGTAAATATAACTGAAGCTAATCATTTATTGTCCATGGAACTGCTATTAGCACATGGCACATAGTTCGACAGGTGTTCACCTTTCTATAATTAAAGTTATACACCTGCTGCGTTTTTTTTGTTGATTTTTTTTTCTCCTCAAAAATTCAACATTCAAGCTGAAGTTGACAAAAATCATTTCATGTCACCGCCAATACGCATAATTTTTTCCCCTAAACCCATTACCGCATGAGCATTTTTTCCTGTTACAAGTTCAAATTGCTATGAAAGTATAAAAATGCTTCAATACCGATCAAACTTGGTACAAATGTTGACTTTACCAGAGCCTTTGTAACGGCTTACACAAACTAAAATTGCCTGTTATGATGTCTCAAAATTGCCAAAAATGACCCACTATTTTGTGTTGATTTCTTTCATCAAAACTGATTTCAATGTGCTGCAATATATCATTGGATTGAGATGGAGTTAAAAGCTTATCAGCGTTGGTTACACGTTACCTTAAGATTGATTTGAGTCCAAATTGTTTTTGGCATCTCTGGCACACTCCTGATGTATCTTTTTAATAGGAGGCAGCGCCGAAAAAGTGATCATTTTTAACAACATTCCTTAAACGAAAACAAGGTTGGGGGCCTTAACAGGGCATTTATTCACTATATGAGGCCTCAAAAAGGAGTGGGTCGAAAATGTGTGAAAAATATGAGGTAATGGGTAAACAGAAAATGATGAGGAAATCTAGGAATTACCCAAAATCGAGTTTTTCTAGTTTAAAACATAGACTTTCACATAATTTTGAAGAAAAAAATTGTTAGCATTTATCTATTTTTTAATTTTTTACATTTATTTCTTTTTTATGGGGGGTATCTTTTTTGTTGTTATTTACGTTTTTTCCAATCGAATGTAAACATTGATTCTTTTTGTGTACAAATATCGTCTTAACGGCCGACGTTTCTTCTAAAAGTAAAGTAACATTTTTTTCCAATCAAACTTCGCATGCAGGAAAAGAAGAAAGTAATGTTCATTTAAGGTTTATTTAAATACACTTTGGGGTATGCATTCTCAAACAGTTCTCAAAAGAAAAGAAAGACTTAACAACTTAAACACCCTTTTTTATCTAGTTATATTAAAAAATACGTTTGTACAAATTTGATATAATTAATAAAAGTAGAAATGTCTTAATCCATGATATGTTTTCAATTATCTAGCAGTCAGTAAATCTTACTTCTTACAAATCTTCTTACTAATCAATGATTATAATAACAAGCGTATATCTGTAACATACGAGTATATGTTAGGTTTAAAATATATTCTTATGTTGTGAGCAATTGTTTATCTAACGGGACAGACGGGGATGCCTTTATTTCTTATGATAAATTTCAATGCTCATTTTTGTATTTTATATGATGTTTGCTATAATTTTAAGAGATCAAAGAAATACCCGCCCTTATATGCGCATAACTACCTTTACTTCTCAATCCGGGAACAGACAAACACACAAAATCAGCTGACCAATATAAGTGGTTTTACTAAATCAAAATGCAATACATTTCAAAACATGCTGCAACCATCTTACAAATGTAGTTATAGAAATGCATACACATGAAGCAACAGAAACAATTATGGGAAAACATAAAAACACTCAATAATAAGGAGCCCCTAAGGTGATATTTTCGACACTTTTTCCCCGTCACTAAATTCGTTTTTACGAAATATTAATTCTTTATTACGAAATATTAATTTCATAATATGAAATATTAATTCGTTTTTATGAAATATTACTTCTTTTTTACAAAATCTCATTGAAGGTCATTGTGAGCTTTACAAAACACCTACTGACCTCAGAATCTTGCCACCAAATATAACGATTATAAGCCGAATGGTTATCAAATTATTATATTGTGTGAACAGGGTTATTTTATTGAGAAGTCATTCTTAGCCCAAAATATCCCCCTTTTCTCCATTTTCAAATACATATTCCAAATAGCTTGGAAAAAGCACAATGTTTCAATCTTTTCTGACATGTTTCTTTAAAAAAGAAACAGGCTATATTATTACTTTCTATTATCATACACATTAGTAAAACATATTTTTATTAAACGTGTATTTCCTTACAATTTATGTGTGGGCACCATGCGAACACTAAAACATGATATTTTATTCACAACTCCATAAAATCAACAAAAAGGGACAGAACAAAGGCTTTGTCTAGACTAAGGGAGGGATATTATCACTATTTATACTTTCTTACATGCCTATTATTTAGTCAGGAACTTAGTTTCAAAGCCTTCGTGGTGAATATTACCTAAATCCCTCTAAATATTAATTCGTTTTTACGAAATATAATTTCGTATTAACGAATCAATATTTCGTCATTACGAAATAATATTTCGTTAAAAAATATTTCGTATTTACGACTTTTTATTTTGTTAAAACGAAAAATAATTTCGTAATGACGAATCAATATTTCATAATTACGAATTAATATTTCGTAAAAACGAATTAAGTCCCTGGAAAGAAAGTGTGGAAAATGTCACCTTAGGGGCTCCGTACAATAAAACTGGCAAGGTCCAAATATTTTATAAAATAATAAAATAAAATATCTAAATTGCCAGAAAACAAAACAACGTATCTTGATTTTGCATAGATGTGCATGTTGTTTTTTATTAAATAATGTCTTGCAACGGATATTAAGAAAAATAAAAATTTCGGGAACTGATGAATTGTTTTAAAATACTTTCTGTGATGAAAATAGAACAACTAAAACAAGCACAGTATTTGATATGTATTATGTAAACAGTACTTACTGGTAGCCATCGTTCATGTCCGTCTGCAGATATGTTAAACTTTGTTTGAATTCATATCATTTGATAAGTGTTGGTGATAACATTTAAGATATGAAAATAGAAAATATAGGTTACCTCCTGTCTTTGTCTCAAAGGTCAACTTTAACCATTTTATAAAGTGTCTATTCAATTTAAGATCAGATGCACATTTTATTTTATCAGATTGTATGAAATGTAAAGGGACCAGTATGATCTGCTGGTAAAATCTTTCTTAAATATGAAATAGATATTTAGAGATAACTCAATGGTTCAGTTTTGAAAATGAAGTATTTTTATTAACCCCCATTATTTCTAAAAGGATTAAAAGGATGTGTATCGTTGGGTGTTATTATAACACAAGTCTATTCAATACATGCACTGATTCAGATATTAAGATTCTGAAGATATTTAAATATCACCCAAAATGTTGCATAATTTATATTTTAAATCTAGAAAAACTGGGTTTAAATGTATTTTAAGTTAAAATGGTCTACTAAGAATGTTAAATACCCAGTTAAACATTATGCAGATTTCACTAAATTAATCGCCCATTCTTGCCTTTTAACAGGAGATATTGCTTTGTTTTGTTAAGCTTGCAATAATTATCTCATTCTCAAACAATTTTCCTCTTGAATTTCATTCTTTCTCTCTCTCTCTCTCTCTCTCTCTCTCTCTCTCTCTCTCTCTCTCTCTCTCTCTCTCTCTCTCTCTCTCTCTCTCTCTCTCTCTCTCTCTCAATGAAGTCATGGTTTTCATAAAACAGATGCTTGTTAGAAATACAAATACACATTATCTTTTTAAATAATTTATAAATCGATATAGCTCATATTTCACAGACAAAGCCTTTCCAACATAGTCCAATATGTTTAATCCTATTGGTTTATAATAATAAAGATTTTCTCCTATGCACGTATTAATAATTTCTAAATCTCTCATTGACCTTCCTATTGTTATGCACGACGTTCACGTGCAGATTTACTACATGCTTGTGCTAATGTTAAATACAAAATGTCGTGCTTTACATACCTGTTCAAATCATTACAAGAGACAACTTCTATATTTTTTTCGAATTTATTTAGAATAATAAAATTACGGTGTACATTGACTTAAAGTAAACCAATCACTGCTCGATATTTCATTTCATAGTTTAGAAGAAGATTTTTGTTATTTAGTTTCTCTTTTTGCTCCGTGCCATCAGGCGCGGAGCTATTTGTGTTTTTTATTCTTTTGTCCATGTGCCCGGTTTTTATTAATTAATCCCTTCGATTTACAGCTAACAATAAATTCGGATTCAAGAACTCTTCCGATTTCTATTATGAAAAGTCATATATTGGTTTTCCCTTGGGTGATTCGCAGCATGTCATATTAGTGAATGAGAACCGGAAAACAGTTTTGCTGTACATGAATTCGAAAGCTATAAATAACTAGATGACCATAACATTGTGAATGTCCGAAAATCTATTTATTGGAGAGGTCATCCATTTTTGCGTATCATATTGAGTTTAATGAATCTCATTTACAGCCTAAAAACATTAAAACTAGCCACCAAACATTGTTATGCACATGTCCCGATTCAAATACGACTTTACCATGTTTACTTAAACGAAAAATTAACATCGACTGTGTAAATTGTTTATTGTTTTGTGAACAGCGAATTCGAAAAAAAGTGACAGTAAACATTTATAATAGTTACAATACTGTGTAATTTAAACTGATCTACTGTTTTAGGATGGTTAACCTGGCCAACATTTCTTTACTCATTTCTTTGTAAAACTATTGGGTCATTAACAGGCCAGGGCATTGGCGCAGTTCAGTCATTATTAGAAATGATCAGCCAGTGGCCAGCTTTCCGAGTGAACTATTTTTAGCATTTCATCATCTCCAAAAAAAATTCAGATTTTATGAATGAAATTCCATATAGAGTTGAAATGTTGAGCTATATAAAAGGGATTTTCTCACTGTTAATAAGTTTAAAGAATAGTTAATCAAATGTAAGTGTATCAATCTTGTTTACCATAAATAGTACAAATATATTTACTCTTTGCAAGTTTATGCTGCACTAATGTGCACTGTTTTTGATTAAAAATTTAAATCTGACCTTTTGAATGACTTCTTTAGCGACGAAAACGTGTTTACATAGATTTCTGTTAAAACAGTAGATTAGGAAATTTTCATCGAAAAGCCTCTCGTTACAAGTTCAAACTGCTATGAAACTATGAAAGATGCTTCAATACTGATGAAACTTGGCACAAATGTTAACTGGACCATAGCCTCTGTGACAACATGCTCGATCTTAAATTTCCTGTTACCATGGCACAAAATTGCCAAAAATCACTATATTGCATTGTTCTTTCCCCCCTCAAAAATGATTTCAAAGTGCTGCAACTTCTCAAAGGATTGAGATAGAGTAAAAGGCTTTTTTTCAATGTTGGTTACACGTTACCTTACGATAGACCTGAGGCCATTTTAGCCTGTCACATGTCCAAAAGTTTCTTGGCGATGAGGGGGTCTGCCGCCCTCTTCACACCCCCGAAACAGAAAGGGTTACATCCCCCTTCTGGCACCCCCTTGATGTACCTTTTTGATAGGGGCGGCGCCGAAAAAGTGAACACCGTTTTCATCAACATTTCTCAAACGAAAAACAGTGTTTGGGGCCTAAGTAGGACTTTATTTCACTGCTTGAGACCTCAAAGGGGGGACGAAAAGCCATCAAAACACGTCTACATGAGGTAGAGGGTTAACTTCGGAACACCTCGCCGATCATTCCTAATCCGAGAGAGTGTCTTAAATAGCCGATATGTTACTATTGTTTGACTAATCTGAAGTCCTTACTGTCCCGCCAATCGAACAATTAAATAAATTTTCAACAGCTGTAAAATGACCTCTTGCATGCTTCTTTTAAGAAGCAAACTTGTAGAAGTAGTTTTAGTCTAAACGAAATGGTCGTGCGTGTCGCGCTATGGTAATAAATAACGAACTGGAGAATTTCGCAGGAAATGAAATGCAAACATATTCAACAATAAATTACACTCTTTAAAAACTTAACGAAAACAATTTAAGTAGGCCATTTTTTACGAAATAGTATATCACAGTATTATCATTTTGAAATTGCCTTTTGCGTAGGTTCTTTCCGGTATATAGCACTTTTCTTTTTCACCGCCCTGATTGCTGATTGCATTTCTGACATATTTTACCCTGAATATTTAAATCGACCCTGATTTCTCGATTTTTTTCTTTTATTCTATTTTGTTTGAAGGCAATCGGTTTTATGGTGGTTTGAGTGGAATGTTGATTTGCCGAATACTGTGACATTTTAACAACAGAAACTTTCGTCTGCAGTTTGAACATGAGGTGTTATGGGTTTTTAGGAATGTAAACACAGAGGGTTTTGAAGCAATTCAACAAAATAGTAGATTGATCTCCCAATAAATCAATTAACAATAGCTCTTTATTTATCACCAATGTCAAGTAGCTTTTATATCTTTGACTCGCACGAACATGATGTTAGTGAATTTCCTCATACCTGTCTAAAATTCAGGTAACAGTCTTCCATTATATTGATAAATAATGTATCACCATATAACGTGTATAACAAACAAAAATTCCTGAATTTAGTCTTTTTGAAATTCATCCCATTTTTTTTTTCATTCCAGTGTGTGTTCTACTTTCAGTATTTATTTGGGACTCGGAATCTTAAATCCCAGGTATTGAAATAAACCATTTGTTTAATTTGACATAAAAAATAATGCATGTAATATTATTACCATATTATAATATTAGACCCTTTTGTTATTATTTGTATATTTGTTACAATTATAATAATAAAAAACAGACTGTTCATTTTGACGACTGTTTTTTTATGTTCCAAAGAAAACACATTTCATATTCTAATCTCTAGCAAACCTACCAACGTTCGTGACGAACAATGTCTTGTCTTTTGTCCTCCCATTTATATATGGTATACAATTCTGGTAAAATCCAATTAACCACTGAAAACTTTATAAGAATATCTAGTCATTAGATGTCTACTAGTTCATCGTCATTTGCTCTATTTCTTGCTTAGACGCCCTTTGATGCTTTGCATCAATGCTTTTAATATACCATTTGCGCGAAACATGCAAAGGACATTTTAAAAAGTAAAGTCAATGAAAGTTTGTGTGTTGGCTTATTAAATAGAGAAAATAAGAATCCCTAAAGAAAGCCCAACACGGCAAAACTGAAAATGTTGCAGGCTCGGTTTGATTGAGCCTGTTCATGGACGGTACTGTCAAGCCCAACACGGCAAAACTGAAAATGTTGTAGGTTCGGTTTGATTGAGCCTGTTCATGGACGGTACTGTCAATTGCAAACTACCGTCCACGCCCCCTAGCACCAACACATCGATTTTTATATTTCTTACAAGGATTAGTAGTTGATATTTATAGAAAATGAGAAGGATTAAAGGTACAAATAAAATGTACTTGCTTAAATATTTTTATCATCTGATGGTACTGACTACAGTACTGACACAAACAGAACACTGTTGCACTACAGTCATGTCACATTACAAGTCTTGTAAGAATGGAATTTCTATCCCTCCCAGGTAGACATCAGTGAAAGCATATTTTTTTTATAAATTTAATATCTGGCCTCTTTCTTATGGACAGTATATGTATACGATAACTATAATGATGCAAAAAATGATTTACAAAACATTCCGAAAAATGTACAGCTTGACAACTGAGCTTTTTCTCAATTGCTGCATTGCAGCAACATTAGTACTTGTTTTTTTTTAATTGGCAGTGAACTCTGAAAGATGAGTATACTGTTTTGCACCGGAACTATACATTCTCTGTTATGTAAACATCTTGTTATGTTCCTCAAAGTGTATTGAAAATGTTTTGGTGGAAATAAAAGACTTTTTTGTTTTGTTCTGTTCTCTTCCGATCAAGTAGGGCGAAGTGAAAATATTTTCGCGACTTTGCCCGAAATGCATTCACTGCATACTCGGTGACCTGCAAGATGAATAATAGTATATCAAGATAACCTTTCCCAGGAAAATACATACAGATATACAGTACGATTTAAATTGCAAAGATCAGAAAATACCAAAGGGCTAGTAGCCCCTTGATAAATTAACAGAAATCTTTATAGAATTCTCGTTTTGGGTTAAGAGCCTTTTAACATGTATACAATATGTTGTCTGTTGTATACAAAAATATTGTTTGAATTTCTCAGTTTCTCAATTTGTCAGAAAGATATTTTAATATTTTATCGTTTGTAATCTTTATAACAGAGACAGAATATGGGAGCAACACAACCAATCGATCTTTAATCGTATATTATAAAACATGTTTCATTTTATACAGCTTTTTGCGCTATGTAACACCGCACTTTGGGGTCCGACCCCAGAGTGCTTCACCAACTTCGGGGTCCAACCCCAAAGTACGTTACGCACTTTGGTGTCAAAGTTATTACACAGGTACATATGCATTTTACCATCAGACAAACGACCGCACTTTGGGGTCATAAAAATTAAATCAATGTGAATGAATGTAATTGATATTCAAAAATAATAATATTTTGTAATTGATGTCAATTGAAAACTGAAAATTTTGATCGAAGTAGGCGAAATGTACTTAGTTGGCTAACAATAGCAGACGATAGAATATTTAAATTTGTTACAGCTAAAAGTTGCATTTTACTTTTGTGTATTATAATTATGTTTTATATCAAATAATCTGTCCCCTTTAAGTAAGATATATAAATATATAATTATGATGTGTTTTGTGTGTTTCTTAGACGATAGGATCTGTTAAGGACCCATTAAAATATGATTTTTATCCTATTTGTTGTTATAAAAACGGGATATAACATTTCTGAATTGACTATTATAGTTCTTTTTATTGAATGTTGTAGGAAAGACGTGCATTGAAAATAATTCAGTTTGTCAATCTGTCACCACTCGGAAAATTGAAACATTTAAAATGGCTTCCAAGATGGATACCATAGTATAAGGTTTCATCATACTCAAGATCATAAGTGTATATTTAGATGAAATTCACGTCCAAATAAATCATTTATTATGGTGGAAAAATTTAGAAATTATTTAAGAGTAGATGGATTTCGTAAGCATGACGTCTATTAGAAAGTATCATGATAAATTAATATTTTAAATGAACAAATAAAAATTTTAATCTTTCCTAGTTACTGCAGCACAAAAGCGCTGAAAATTGTTTCCTTGAACGGCTTTCACCGTTATTCATTCTTGCCAATGGATGGCTGTCGATGTTATCATTAAAAAGAGGCGAACGGCTGATGACATTACTAAAATTTTGATGACACTCCAACTTAAATACTCTATAACTTTAACAGGAAAGCATTTTTGAAGATATGGTGTGGAATATTTAATGACGAAATAATGACGTTTACGACTCGTATGATAAAAGGATTTATTATCATGAGAAAATATAAGTTTTTGTGACTTAAAAATAAAAATACCGCATCTCATGTTTTTCAGCGTTGGTTACACGTTACCTTATGATCAATCTGGGGTCATTTACAGCCTCTCACAAGTCCAAAATTTTCTTGGCGATGAGGGAGGCTCCGCCCCCCCCCTTCAAACCCCCCAAACAGAAGGGGGCACATCCCCCTTCTGGCAACCCCCTGATGTATCTTTTGGTTGGGGGGCCGCGCCGAAAAAGAGGTCACTTTTTTAACAACATTTCTCAAACAAAAACAAGTGTTTGGGGCCTAAATAAGGCATTTTTTCATCATTTGAGACAACAAAAAGGGGGAGGGGGTGAAAAAGGCGTTAAAAGGCGTGTATATGAAGTAATGGGTTAAGAAGGCATAATACACCGAAGGTAATTCAATATATATATATATATATATATTATTTATTTTTAATTACAATTATTAAGGTGAAATATTAATTCTGGTTATAATATATACAAAGCATAAAATCAAATTAAAGTCAAATTTAAGGAGAAGAATTCTATAAGACTTGTCTTTCATTCTCGTCCTTTTCCATTGTGTAAAAATATTGTGTTTGTTATTTATTTGTATGTACACTATATATACTTTGGGAATAAATATGTTTAAACCAATGCATAAAATCTGTTTACCATTAATGGAAAGTAATAGAATCATCTTAGATTAACATTTGTCATTGCACCATTTACTAAATCATAATACATTTATATTCTTCAACAATAAATGTAACACCAGGGGCCCGTTTTACTAACATACTTATTCTTAAGCTTTGCATAAGTGTGAAGTTACGTCCAAATTTTACGTAAAGACGTATATCTGAAAAATCAATACGTACTCTTTTTGTAAGTTTCACGTAAAATTACGCTTAAGTTATGCTAACTGAAATTTAAGTCAATAAGACTGACATGAATAATGCAAGAAAAGGAAAGCGAAAATTGTATATACAGACATGACTGCTCAGACAGTTTGACGATGAAAGCGGCTCTATAAGTGTGGTGTCACAGACTCATTCGAAATGAGATTTAGTAAAGAAAACAATTACGAATACAAAAGTCATTCTTTCAGCTTATTACCATATTCTTCTTTAAAACAAATACGTGTACCAAATCCATCCACCACTAAGTCGTGATTGACCTTTATCAAAAATATTTAATATAAATCAAAAATCAAGCGTTTGCTAACTAAACTTCACGAGGTTTGATGCTAAATGTAGATTATTTGGAATTTTATCAGTGACACAATAACTGTTGAAACTCAGGTCTATTAGTTTGATATCAAGTTAATGCAGACAGAACAAAAATATCTACCTGCTTTTATATTTTGTTATAAAAATGTCGAGATCCTTTACCAGTTAAATACTGTTTTTTTTCCTTGAAATAAAATGATGCTGAACATTTTTGGGGCGCATTAAAGTGCACGAAGACTAAATGTACATAAAATGATATGTGGTGGAAAATATTCATATATCAATACATCAATGAATGCTTAATAGTTACACTGCAATTATGACAAAAATATTTTATGTTTGCATGTAGTGCTTTACGCGTACTGCTGAACATTTCGTGTCATCTGTTTTTCTGGTTTTTCATGTTTTGCTGTAAAATAATAAAAAGCAGATTTATGGATGACGTGAATTAGTTAAATATTTCACTTAAAAGTGTGAACAGATCCACATTTTTACTTGCGGGAAACATCAAAGATTTTCCCATTTTACCTCTTGAGATATATAGCATATCAAACCAAGTTAATTCCACTAGTTATTTTCAACAAAAAATAGCTATGATTGGTCAAAGGGGGTACTGTCGATTACTTTTCCTTAACACTCTTTATATATACATTATTTAAACATTAAAATTCGAAAGAAATTTGTGTGATGGATGGCCGATGGTACAGTATGCCTATAAAAACACGAATTGCTCAGAGACATCTGGGCGTCCGTAGATGACCATACAAAATTTAATTTTAGCTTTCTTGAAAGGTTTGCGGTCACATATTTGATTGTCTGAGAGAGGATAAATATTCCCGAAATGCCTCCTTTTTGAATAATTTTTAACACCTCTATTGAAGAGTTAGGAGATATTTCATCGTAGAATAAGAAAAACGTTCGTACGTTTTATGAAACACACTTATGATATACGAAAGTTTCAAGGTAACAATACTTACGAAAAACTTACGAAATGTTAGTGAAAACGGGCCCCAGGTAAATAAGTAATAGAGCGTTTACTTAATCTTGTCTCACTTTTACATTTTGATGTTAACTCTTCTAATCTCTTTGCATATCAAATTTTTCAATAGCTGATGTGAGAGAATCTGCAACTTCACATAAACTCTCTTTTTGATTTAGAAAGTAATCTACAGCCTGAAAAACTTTTAATTCATCAATAACAGTAAGGGCGGATCTTCTCTCGTCTGAATCTTTAAAATGCAATAGAACCACTATAACTCTTTTGTAATATTGATCTGAAATAAATAAAAAGAGAACTGTTGCTTGAATACATATTGAAGAAATTGTAAAATAAAGAGATAAATCGTTGATCGGGATCGCGTTGGAGAAATTTAGAGTTCAAAGAAAAAGGAAACTAACTCATTTAACTCATCACATTTAATACCCCTACTATTTTTACCGCAAAAGATTTAAGACATTTCCATAGTCCGGCCGTTCTGTCCGTCCGTCACAAAAACTGGAATCCTTGATAACGCAGGAAATGCTGATTTTTTTTTAATGAAACTTGAAATATGTATAGGTAAATGGCAATCTGGAGATTATGCACATCTTTTTTTCTACCTTTCTTGAAAATTTGATTGTTATGGCAACAAATAAATCTAAAATATGGCAATACCAAAACATATTTGTGATTTTTTAAAAATATCAACAATTGTAGCTCTAAAATAATGATTTTTACCCCCTTGAACTTACAATTTACTTTAAAAAAAAATTAGTATAAGATTATTTCTGAATTTATCTTCTTCTAAAATATGTTTCTTATCACCTACAACATCATATGTGATAACATTCATCGTTCTAGCACCTGTATTATTATCCTTGATCTTAGAATTTCCATGATAAAATTTTGTCAGTTCGTCTGTCTGTCTGTCTGTCCGTCCCTACAAACATTTTCCTTTGTGATCACTATTCAAGGACTTGGAACTTCTTCAAAAAATTTTCTTGAAATAGAGAAACGTAGAAATATTATGTATGCATATTTACCCAGAGATAAGTTTATCTTTCAGTTATCTGTTGTATGAACATAATTTCCTTATTAGACAGAGTGCCTTAACACATAACTATGATACAGTCATCATAAGAACTCAAAAGTACACAACAGCATTATTGAAGGGTCTGGCTCCTTCAGAATATTACTGATACTTTTGTAGTGCTTGTGATACTTTTACTATTGTTTGTTTAAAATGTGTTATTGCCTTTGTTCATCTGTTAATATTTCCTTTGTTATTTAAAATATCTCATATTAATGTGTCGCGGATGTCTTGTGCAAAATATCTGAACATATTCAATTGTTTTAAACATTTTCTGTTTGAACACATTTTTTACTTGTGTAAGTATATTTAAAACCTAAGCGGAGTGGTGACGTATTTGGTTATGTTTGCTTCTTAAATAATGGATCGTGGGTTTGAGGCGCCCTACTCTGTTTTCTTTAGTGTTTTCACTCATATGAAACCATCACTTGTTAGTTTCCAGCATCACTTGTTAGTTTCAAGAAGCGTACTTGAATAAAAAGATATTTTAAAAAACTTGATGCACAAATAAATATATTTAAACTGGATAAAAAAAATATTAGCATGGAAATTCTTTACTTACTTCCAATTCTAGAAAGCGTTCCCATAACATCAGATACAGCTCTTGAATGTATGAGAGAAATCACAAGTAACGGATTTTCGTTCTCAGCCAACGTTTCATCTGGGTTGTAAGTAAATTCCAGAAAAATGTTTTTCTTCTCTAAAAGTCGATTGAGGTCATAGAGACATTGTTTGTGTCTATCTGAGGTTTCTCCGCAATATACCGAAATCTAGAGATGATACAGAAGATAAATATAATAAGGTAAACGATATTGCTTTATTCTATATTATAAAAGTACAAATTGCTAGAATCTGTTTAAACGTGCTCGGTTAATAGTCAAATGTTTTTGAGACTATGATAAAGTACAAATATTTGTTGTGATTTGCAAAACGGGACAACTATTTTCACTTATACTTTTCTTAATATTATGTAAAAAATTATTTATATACAATCATGAATTTATTTCTTAAAATATGTTGAACTGAATTTGTTGAAATAAATTTACCTTCTGGCATTTTGTGGTCGGAATATTAATTGTAACAGTCTGCTTACTGGCGTACTTTTTTCGTAAATGCGTGCCTTCCTTTATATCTACTTTAAGTTCCATGTAATTCTCAGGTACCTTAAAAAGAAGGTTAAAAGTCAAAACAGGAAGCTTCCCAAAAACTATTCATGTCACATTTTAGTATCATGCGATATTTAAACGTTCCGTCGACATACTTTCATATCTAACATTATTAATATATCGTTAGAGGAATTTTTCTATTTAATTGGGTAAACGGTATGACAATATATTGCAGGTATCTTTCTTTTCTGAACTATGCAGGATTATTTAACTTACTACTTACATTTGAGTTGCCAGTCGTGTTATCTACAGCTTTTTTGTCAAAATCCTTATGCTGTACAATCATCAAACTCAAGCAAACCTCCCCATTATGCAGGAAGAAATTATACTTTAACGAGATATCAATCGAACTCGGTGGTGTTCGTTGGCTGATCAGCCAATATTTAGCGTCAATAAGCTTTTTGTTAATCAATTTAGGAAATCGTTCGCATTCACAGTCAGTTGTTTTGCATTTGCAATCCTTTCGACAAAGTGTGCACTCAAATCTAAAACATTTTAAACAATATCTGTTAATACAGGAATGACATCGATGTCCAAACTCGTACAGTTCTCGCTGTGATTTTGTATTCACACGTGCCATTACTTTTTAATTTTTTTAAAATCCTGTCTTTTAACTACCTTTTCTACATATATGGCAGAAATCTAAATTTCTTAATTTTAGCTGAAACGATTACACTTAAATTTGTTCTTAAGATATAGGTTCATCGTATTAAAAATATTTAGTGGTAGAGCTACGCAATGTTTGTACAAGATAATACTTTTATCTTATCAAGCAATGTTTAACATTACGAGGCCGCTATATCAAACCGCACGTTTGGTGAAAGATTTATAAGTATCAATATTTTAAAAAATCACTCTTTACTCAAAACAACTAATATCATTTTAAATAATGGATATTTTATCATTTTCTTTTGTTCGATTTTTGACCTTGTACAGTTTAAGTAAACAGTTATTAATGTTTGTTTAATACTGAACTTTATAATATAAATATGTTAAAAATAATTTGCCGCAGGTCTAAAAAACAAAGCAGTATACACTTTTTATTAAAGGGAAAGACAATGTAAGAATAAAGATGATACCAGAAATAGAGTACTACACATGTATAAATAATAAATCTTCAAATTTTCTGCGTTAAAGTAATGATATTAAACGCTTGATAAAATCGCTTAATCAGCGAGTTCTACAAATCAGTAGGCGCGGCCATGTTTGTGTATTGGCGGTATAAAAACAGGTGCGCGTGATGTCATTAACCCACATAAAATTATTTACAATTGTCGAATCATAGCGAAAGATAAAGATATTGTAAAGTATTGAATATACAAAATAATCTTAAACAAGATGTGTAGGTGAAAAGTTTTTGGCTCAAAATGCGTAACAATAGCCAAGAAAATAAAGAAAGAAATAAAAAATCAACGGTCTACCAAGCACCGATCGCACCACTTCAGACCGAGTGATGCCCGTTACTCCAAACAATGCTACGTTCATTGAAGTCTCATTCCAATGTAATTAAACACTTTTTAACAGATTAGATAAATACATGTATTATAATTTAACAAAGTGTCTCCATCAATTAATGCAAGTAAAAATATTGTCTTTCAAATGTAAATATGAAATGTAAATCGGAAATGGATTCTCGATTTCGGCACAATTAGGTTCCTGACTTTAAAGCTTTTATAGCTCATTTGTGCCGTCTGGACACAACATAAGAATGGAGTCGATATAAAACTGTTTTATTAAACAAATGTAACTGTTTTCTGTTGCTTTGTTAATGCATTTTATAAAATGAAGCAGTTGTCATATAAGTAATCATTTACATCATAATCTGCGAAATCGATATGAATAATAAATAATTGAATGTACGCGTGTGGTTGGTCTTATTGGAATCATATAAAATTAAGCTCTAAGATAGCACTTTCACAATAGCAGTTGTCATATAAGTAATCATTTACATCATAATCTGCGAACTACTTTAAGCTTTATGATTTTTTATTACATTGTGCTCTTAAGAGTTACATAAGCCTAGGTACAACTGATGTTTCTGAATTAATATATTTCGCAATAAACTATTTATGTAGCTAAATTAAATGATAAACTGTACGTGTGCTACGTTGAATTTGTCTTTTACAAACATGCACCACCCCTGAACAACTGTATCTGTGTTTTTAGCAACATAATGCAACTATCGTGACAAAGTAAAAACGCACAGAAATGCACAGATTGAAGGTTCCATACAGGCTCCTAAATGTGAATCTGTAAGAAAAACTAGGGCATTTTGTGCGCATTAAACGCATTGCACGGATTAAACTACAGCAAATGATAACCAGCGTTAATGATTGTTAACTTGCATATCATTGATGCTTTGTGGTGAGATCTTTACGTGATTTACTTCCATTTCACTAATCTATTTCTATACGTGAATATTCGATACAAGTTTATAATTTTTCAACAAAAAAAAGCCAAGAAAGATTCCTTTTATACCGACTGTTTATTAGCTAAGAAGACAAATACACATTAAAATCTAAAAAAAAAATGTACAAGACAAGTGCTTTAAAAAAGTGGAGCATATTTCTTTATTGTTTAACCATTTTTAAAGATCCTATATGTTGTAATTAAGGATGTAACAACTAGTAAGTGAAGTTTTATATATGTATATATTATTCTTAAACATCCAAGAAAATGTTAAATATGTACTGCAAATGTTTATTAATCATTTAAATATATGCATTTATTTCCTTTTGAAAAATTTGGCTTATACTTTATCAAAAATTTATTTATAATTACCTCCCTTTATTTACATGAAATGTAAATTCGGTAATATTTTTACAAATAAGGCTTTTTTGAACTCGCAATATTGATAAATCTTCATTTGAGCATCATATTTATGATGTAAAACCATAAACAATTGAGTTACAGGATCTTTAAAATAATATTGGCAAACCTAGGAACATTGAGGTATACACATTTTCAATAATTTTGACCTGTGTAACCAGATAAAATCAATAGTCAATTAATAAAACAAGTCGAAAGGAAAGAAAGAAAAACAACAATCTTGTTTAAATGGCTGAGTAAGAAAGGGAAATAATGAATGAATATCAGATATAAACTTACAATTGTTTAAGTTATGTTATATATATGTACTTATATCAGCGGTATATCTATATTCTGACCATAAGAATTGTAAGTTCATCCTCTTGTCCCCACTCTTATAAAAATAAAAGTAAAAAGTCTCTCCCTCCCTCTCCTCTCCTCCCCTCCCCCTCTCTCTCTCTCTCTCTCTCTCTCTCTCTCTCTCTCCCCCCTCTCTCCCTCTCTCTCTCTCTCTCTCTCTCTCTCTCTCTCTCTCTCTCTCGTACATGTTATATACATTTGCAAAAAAATCAATATAAATCAGTTAATATAATTGTATATCTTTCTTAGACAAGCAGAAAACACAAGCCAAACCATGAATACAAATACGAAAAAGTCTCAACGGAAACATTCACATTACCTTTTATCATAAAATACATGTATTATTTAAAAGAATTAATAGCATCTATTATTTTCTTGTAAACATCGACTATATTGTCACTTTCAGGTTGCTGGAAAAGGTCAATGATATCCATTTCTGAAAAGCGTATATTCGACTTCACTTCAGGTGCACATTTTCTTTGATCTGATTGTTTGAAATGTAAAAGGACCAGTATGATATGCTTGTAAAATCTTTCTGAAATAAAGAATAGAAATTAACAGATAACTCAAAAGTTCTGTTTTAAAAAAGAAAATATTTTTATTAACTCGCATTACATTTAAGAGTTAACTCTAAGTCTAACAAAATGTTTGATTTCAACTTCTTCAAGTAACTCTTGTGAGTAATACCCCGCATTCTTTGTTCTTTATCTTGTAAATAACAAACATCGGTTCTATCATATTTAATACTTTATTTTTGTATTCACGATGCATATCTTTAATATGAATTGTTCTAGAATGGGCACATTTCAGTAAGTATTTTAGATATTTATAAAAACAACATACATTTATCATATAATATTATATCGGATTATTTTATAAAAGAAAGAAGAAAATTGTTGAGCTAGTTCTAAATTGTTTAGTATGAACATATGTATGATAAATAATAATGTTTGGTTCTAGAAAACTCTTTTATTTTCTATAGATCTACATGTATTTATACATGTATATGGAATATCATTATCTCAGCCTTAATAAAAAAAACATATACAATTTGTTGGTGGTTTGTTTTCACGTATGATACTATGTACTATAAACATATTTTTATGATATTTCAGACATACTATTACGATTTGTATTATTTATATAGACAGACTAATTCATATTAAACAAGCCATTATCTTGGCCGATTTTTGGTAGCCCTCTAAGTCAATAAATCATACATTGTTTTATTTAGTTACTGGCATTTATGTAATGTATGCAAGAAAAATATATTGAGTTTCATTATGTTAAGAATATCTTTATCAGTTGAACAGGTTCCCAAAACAATAGTCATGAAAAATATGCAATTCGATATGATATCTTATGCTCATTTGATTATTATATCAAACATTTGGAGTATTTTGAAATATAACAGCAAATAGCACCATTTTTACATTACCTTCAATTTCACATAATGCAGCATTCACATCTGACATAGCTCTTGAATGAACTAAACAGACGACAATCAGTTGAGCGTCCTTTTTCCCAAGTTTTCCAGAAAACTCATCAACTTTCTGTACCTGTATATCTCTACTACCTAGGTATTTGATTAAAGGGCTTATAAATCTCTCTTGTCTTGCCGTTGTGTCCTTGCTATACAGTCCAATGATCTAGTTATAAAATAATAATACAATTAATTTTTTAAAGAAAATGATCAATATCTCTAAAAAACCGCAAACAAGTATTTATTATATTATTTTTATCATTGATATATTTTGGAAAAAAACATATATTGTAAATAAATTTCTGGATAATTAACATATATGAAACAGCGGCGTAAAATCACATTTGCTGCTAGTAGTTCATGTCATTATGTTATTGACTTACCTTTTCATCAACAACTGTTTTCAAAGCGACACATACTGCCTGCCGACTGCGTAGGAACTTCCTTGAAGAAGGATCCTCATAGTCCAAAACCAAAACCTTTATGAAGTTTTCCTGAAATAAAAAAGAAAATTATTGGGACAGTTTACTGGTTTTTTTATTTAGGTTATTAATTCACATTAATTTAAACAAAAGTTATTCTAAACAAAATAGATACGGTTTGATATAACTCATGCTTTTCCAAATAAAAAAAATATGTACTTATACCAACCCGTTTATTTTCATTCTGCACTTCATAATGTTTTGATAATCTCATTTCCAATGTTAATGTAGTTTTTCCATTATGAAGGCTGTAACAGTGAGTCGAGACGATGTAAATTGTATCTTCAATCGGTAGACGTTCATTTATTGATTCCCTTAAAATCTTTTTCGTTCTTTCCATTTTTTCTTCAATGGTTTGAGCAATCATATTGCAGTAGCATGTATTGCCACATGAACATTGTATGGCACAAAGTAAACATTCAAATTTAAAACAGTTCAAACATCGTATTTCCTCATCATTCATGTTTTCAAGTGGCCTGGATAAGCAATCTTTACATCTCTTGCCGAAATCGATCATGCTTTGTTCATTTACTTTTTTAAAACTTGTTAACATACTTCTACGTTTGGATTGGGTTCCTTGAAGGCTAATACTCAATTCAGTTTGAGTGTTGGTGTACTTTGATAACACAACTTCGCCAGTATCATTGTCAGGAAACAATGAGGAAACTTCATGTTTGACTTTTTTACCTCTTAAAGTGAAAGGAAATAATGTCATTCTCTTTTTTCCTTGTTTTTCCTTCTCATTTTTGACCCCAAGACAGGTTCTGTCACTATCCTCATTTTTGGCAGCTGCTGTAGAATTTACAAAGATATGTTCAAATGTTGGTGCACTCGTTTGCATTTTGTTCAGTTTCGTTTCTACTTTATGTTTCGGGTCCTCTTTAGTATCTTCCTGAATATGTTCTGTATAATCAGGACACAAAATATCTACCATTTCACTGCGAACAGATATAGCAATGTGTGTTTTATCAGGACTATCATTGTTTCTTATTTTCTCACCAGTGTAATCACCGTTGTTTTCTAAGGAATGGTGTGTCATTTCATGCAATTTCTGAGTATTTTTCATGTCTTTTTCCTCTAAAGCTTGCTGGGTACTTTCAAAAACGATACCATTTTCTTGCATTTTTTTAGACGTTTCATCGTCTTCTCCATCAAGTTTAATTTTGTTAGTCTTCCAATCATTGATTGCCGAGGGTTCATCCAAAATCTCACAGTACTTTTCTATTGGAATGAAAGGATCTGGAACATTGACATGGCTGTCATACTCGTCTCCATTAGAAGATACTTTACATATTCTGCCTTTGCGTTCATCGCTGCTTTTATTGTTTTCAATTTCCGGACTATGATCAGTCTGCCCTTCCGAGTTAGTCTCATTTTTTATGACTTCAGTCGGATCGAGTTTATTTTTGCTTATTTGATGAGGAAAACTTCCCCTAACTTCTTCGTGTCTCTCACATCCCACGGCTTGATTGCTTTTCAATACATTTAATCTTATTATACTTTCTGTCATCATATTTAAGTCGTCTTCAAAGTTATCTGAGAAATCCACAAGTTTTGTGCTTGCAATGTCTCTTTCATCTTGACCTCCTGATAACTGTTGGTAACTGCTAAAACTACTTTGGCTTTCAGTATGTTTTGAAGTCGTATCTGCATCATTTCTATCGCTAAACATTGCACTCATATCTTGACTTTTACCATTTGCTACTTCTTTCTCGCCAAACAATTGTTCCTTAAGCTCAGACAATAACTTTGAGGTATCGTCATTAGTTTCGTTCAATTGTGCATGGTCATTGTTTACAACACTTGTGTCAGATTTAATTTCGGTATCCACTAGATTTGGAAACTGTTTACCTTCATATGTTCTTACAACATCATCAGGTATATCTATCAGATGATTTTCATCTCTTTTATGAAAACCATTTTTACCTGATAACGATTCTAGGATGTTGTCTTCTGTTGTATTTGTTGATATTATATCAGTCAGTTCTTGGCCGTTTGAGTAACTTTCGGTGCTGGTATAATTCATTGCTGTTCTTTGATTTTGTGAGGATATAGGGGAAAGGACCTCCATACTGTCAGGAGTTAATTCAATCGATCCTTGTGCAGTTTCAGCATTGTCCTGTGGTTTGAAGTGTTCTGAAGATATATTCGCCTTAAAACCTTTATCCCTGATTTCTGTTAAAATGTTTTTAATGCTTCTTTTCATCGTTGCAAATTTTTGGTTGTTAACTGCATTTTTTGATCTTTTATCTTCCACTTTCGATATCTCCGTGAATATCGCAATATTCAGTATCCTTATCTGACTTAGAATGATCTTCATTTAGGTTGATAGATTTAAAAGAATAATCCTCAGTCATATCATTACAATTAACATTAATATTGTCCAATTCTCCGTCATATTCACGTTTCGCTATTTTGGACATATTTGACGTATTCTAACAAGATCACACAATTCTTTATCACACTCGTTTCAAAAGCATCAATAAAAAGATTTACATTCGAATAACAATTTGAGTACAGCAATATCAATTAACCTTAAAATGTGCAACGTATATTAAAGGCACACTATGCTCAAGAAATGATTTAAATGGGAAAATATTTTAGTGGCAATGTTTGAATAATGGATTTTAGGAATAAAAGATTATGGTCACAACAAGTAAATAATGATGCATGTGGGGACAATATCAAAAAGGTAGCAGAAAGTAGTAGAAACTATTATGTCCCTTATTCCAAAACGTATTAAAAGAATCAAAATATAGTTCAGCGAAATGCCAAATGAGTATTGCTTCTGCAATTGTACCAGGACGCCGAAATAACAGTGTTTCTATGAAATGAAAATTGTTGAAGTGTTTGATGTTCAATGTGCCTTTAATGAAGTTATATCTATGAGTACAAGAAGGGATAAACATAAATCCATTTTCTACAGATAAAGTATCCTTGAGATTGATAGTATCGTTATAATTCAGCGTATATCACATAGCTTCATTTTCCATGCTCAGCCGAAAATATTTCAATACCTTGATTACCTAATTTAAAAAGATTTTTTTTGCATTTCGAGATTAAACTGTCAAACTTATAATAATTCCGAAAATAGAGTGAATGAAAATACAAAACTAATATATTTGTATTATGGTGATATAAAGACTAGTCTTTAATGCAATAATGTGATTTATAGCTCGTATGACTACCAGTCTTGATATCGATATAATTCAATTTAATACAAATGAGACATTTCAAAGGCATTTCGGAACAAAGATCTAGTAAAGGACAGAAGATGTTTTAAGAGCAAAAGAAAACAAAACAAATAACTAGGCAAATAGTGAACAATTGAATACAAAGTTTGATTTGACTCTTGTGAGAGATAATGTATTCTGTAACATCTCTCAAGCCAGCCCCTTCTAGCACCGGCCTAAGGGGAATTTAATCCTTTACATTAAAAGTATTGGAATTAATGACCCCAGAGGAGCCGTAAATATAAAAATAATGAGATAAAGTTAGGCCACGTTGCTTTACAATTGTTGTTAGTGCAGTTTTATGTTGGAATGCACTTACGCACTGATACGATTTCATATGTTGAAAGACGTCCAAAATGATAAAGACAGATAAAGATATTCAACTTATCTTTGACTTGCGATGTTCAAGTATTCAGTGCAAGGGATAGCTATTGCCAAAGTGTCATAGTCTAAAGGTATCTCAGGTAGATTTATTGGTTCACGCGTGCCTGGTACTGACATAATGTGAATTTTGTCCTAATTTGCGTTCATCGCATGATCTCATATGACTTCTCTTAACCTAGTTAGAAATAGGTACATGATAAAGGTAATGTAAGTGTCGAATCAAGTTATTAGCAAATCAGTATTAAAGAAAAGCAACTCTGTTGTTGAAAAGTGTATGCTTTACATAGATTATGCCCTATACTTATGCCTGTTCATTACCTCTGGCCCCCTTTATAATGTCATTTAATTTTGTTTCACCGATTGTTTGTTTTTTTGACAAATAATTCTGAACCACAATCCGCTTTTCATTGAATAACACAAAAGTGTGACATTGACGGTTCCATGATAACCTCCGTATGAACTGACGTGTAATGTCTCTAAACTTATAATTCAGCCGTTGTCATGTATAAATATTTAATAATTCATTTAACTAAGTGGTGCTACGAGGCGCGGATGATATTTCGCTTATAATAAAAACATGAACAGGTCTAATTTAACCGATTTACCATTTTATATTTTCCAGTTTAGTGCTTTCTTTTGACACTTTTTACAACGTTTTTGTTTATTTAATTCTTGTTTATGGATGCGTGTGGGCGTGCACGTGTGTGCACGCGCATTCGTGCATGTGTGTGTTAGCGTGTGCGCGCGCGCACACTAAGATATTCATAAAAATGCACCAAATCTCCTTATCTCCTTAAAAAATATGAAATTGCTTATGTTTGTATCGCAATAAGGTTAACGAAAGTTCTTCCATTTCTAATAAATGAGGATCAAAGGGAAAAATCATATTCAGATGCTTGTACATTGGGTTCTTTTTTTTTTTAGGGTTTTATATTGTCAAAACAGGGGATATATTTTTATTTTTGCCTATGATACAAAAGAGAAAGATCATCAATACACTCACACATGTTCTATCAATTATAATATGTTAATCAATTTTGACAGCTTTTAAAAACTTTCATTTAAACTAAATGCCTGAATATTGCAGATTATGAGCTAACAAAAGAAGAAGTTCTTATTGGAATGCAAAGAAAACGGTTGAGAAATTAAATTTTAATATTTCTTGTTACAAAAAGATATATCCAGACTCGAGGTACAATAGCCAAAGTTTCAATATACAAACTGATCATTATTCTAACTTAGTTTTTCATTATTATTATGTTGAAAATGATAATTAAATCCAATAATTATAGTATCATAAAGCAGGGACCTTTCTTTTAAATTGTATACACATGTATGCACAGTGCGTTAACTGGAAATCAGGTATTAATTACTCACACTCCAGAGCATGCGCATCGATTGGCTCATTGTTTCTGGGGTTTACTTTTTGTGACGGCAGAGAAAGGAATAACGATAGAAATGTATAATTCAGATAATCGTTCATTGGTTACTTTCTTCTGGGGTTACCTATTGTGACAACACGGGACATGTTTTTTCATTTTGCCTTTGATACAAAAGATAAAGACCATCAAGACACTCGGCAATCTGATTTATACTCAAAGGCTACGCCACCTCGTACAAATCAGATAGCCTCGTGTTTCGACTTGTAACTGGGATAAATGTATAAGTAGATAGGCTCACTACCAAAATCTTGTTGATATTAAAGTTCCAAATTAAATAATTATCTGAACATAGTTTTATCTCACAATGATACAAGGAAATTTATAGTTAATTTATCAATCTTGAAAAAAAATATGTTACCATTCAGAGTCGGAGAGGTGTCATATAGAATGTCTTCTTATAGTCTTCTTTTAAATATAACGCAATAAATATATTGTTGGTGACACATTATAACGAAACGCTTCGGGCAACTTCTTTATAATAATATGTTTTACACTTCCAATGCTGAAATGATATTTATCGTTTTTATTTCTTATGTAGAACCGTAAAGAGGTCTAAATTAGCAAGTTTTCTTTAACATATATTAATTATGCTATAAAGCAATGAAATTAGTTAGTGAACATCACATACATCAATGTACATTGTAAAACTATTTTTATAGATTTGTTCAAACAAATAAATGTATGTACTACATATATATACATATAGAGATATGAAGATGGCGGGAGTTTAGGGTCTGTCACCTGTATATAGGGCTCGTCGGGAAGTCGAGGGTACTCCTGATTCCTGACCACTACTGCGGATCGTGGGTCGGGAGTGCACCTGTCATTCCTTGGGGCGCGAAGACCAATTGAAGCTTCTAGACCCAAAGTCGTGCTCTGATTGAGTTCAGGTCCACGAAATAGTGGGCGGAGACTACCAGTTCCGACTGACTTTAATATGATTTGTCTTTAAATAAATTATGAAATATATGTAATTGCTACTTTGAAGAAAGAGCTAAATTTAGAAAATATCACATTCGACTACAGGGAAGTAAATGAGTAAATATATGTTATGTAAATTAAAGTGGTTATCCCTCTTTCTGTGCCAAGCCTTTGTTCTTTGAAATTTCGTTATTTTCTTTTTTATAAAGATTTTTAACATTCTACACAAATTCAGCTATGCTTATAGCACATAATTGTGGGGATTTGGTTATAATACGAGTATTTTAACTTTTTCATCAGGAGACTTGCAATTTTGATTAATTTTGATTGAGATAATCCCCAACGGTGTGTATAATTTCTCCTACTATATAATTATGTGAAACAAGTAACAACGCAATATTTTCATATCAAACTTTGTCTTTTTTTAACCATAACCCACGTAAAAACCTTATTATTTTGTGTATACACTTTTCGTTTAAGTCATATTGTTGGGGATGGGGACAATATGGCAGAAAAGATGAAAAAAAATTAAAAAGCAGTAAAATATAAATAATAAAAATTATAGTATACATGTATATACAATAATATTAAAAGGATATTTTTTCGTTTGACTGAAATATGGAATATATTTTCGCGAAACATGATAAAATGATACATATTTTCACGAGCCGGGACGGCGAGTGAATATATGTGGTATTTGATCAATCCCATGTTGAGTGAAAATGTATACCATATTTAACGAAAAACGAGAAAATAACCTTTTTATTTAATTTCATTATCAAAGAAAAATGGTTACGAACCCCATTGCTTGCTACGCAACTGCAATTGTACAGCGCGCAGTTATAATTATTTATTACATGCTTTTTGGTGGTTTATAGAAATATATCAGTGATATAAAAATGGTAATTTCATTGTCTGAAACAGTGAAATTACCACTTTGATAATTTCACTGTTTTGAATTTAAGCCCCTTACGTTATTTCAGAGAAATACCAGCGTGCACAGTACTGGGAACCAACTTAATGACTTGACGTCGTAAATGACGTCACGTTATATTGTTATTTGGCGCGCTTTTCATTCAGTATTAGGTTAAATGTCTTTTTAAAACGTTTCTTTGCATATAATAAAAAGAAAATTTGTTTAGTTTAGTGTAAGATTGACATATATTTCACCTTGTGAACACCAAAAGTTCATATTTCACTCGTGGCTGCGCCACTCGTGAAATATACCTTTTGGTGCTCACTCGGTGAAATATATTCCGATCTTACACTGAACTAAACAAATATCCTCTATATTATTGCGTCTTGTTTTGCACGCGATATTTGGCGCTACATTGCGACGTCACGTAAACAACTCTTTTAAACTTGTGTACGTTTATAACTGAATTAAAGATATTGGTGTTCGGATAAATTTTCTTAGTTTGACCATTTTCTCATTCTAGATAGTTTTGAAAACAAAATTTAACAAAAAGTTGTTTTGCATTTTTCAGATTTTTCAAAGATTTGTCGAAAGAAGTCCCTTAAAATAAATATGAGTTTCGACTCTGCCCACTTTCATATTTCATATTTATTTTTAAAAAATATGAAATATATTTGGCTGATATAGCACCATATTTCATGGGTAAAATTAAATAAATATAGTATATCTTACAATACGTCCGTTGCCGAGTGGTTAAGGTCGTTAACTTCAAAACCACTTGCCCCTCACCGCTGTGGGTTCGAATCCCAGGGACGTTGGATTCTTTCATGTGAGGAAGTTATCCAGCTAGCTTACGGAACGTCGGTGGTTCTACTCAGGTGCCCGTTCGTGCCTGAAATAATTCACGGAAGGGCACCTGAGGTCTTTCTCCACCAGTAAAGCTGGAACGTCGCCAAATGACCTATACCGTGTAGGTGTGACGTAAAACAAACAAACGTAACGATATAATTGGATTTATTTCTTTATGAGCAGATGCATCACAATGATTATCACATTAAGAAGTCGATAAAAAATAAACAACCCAAAAATAAAAAATAAAAAAATGTCAGATCTAAAAATATCCCATCACAATTAAATTAATAAATGTTTTTCAAGAAAACGTTAAAATAAAATGACTGCCAAAGTCATTTGTGTACATCTGAAACAATATTATATGAAAGGAGTCCAAATGAAAAATAATTGGTGCAAAATGAAAAGTACAAGCAAAAGTGAAAAAATGCTCAATTTAAAACCAAATAATCTTTATTCTATTTATCATCCGTAACATATGTACTATTTTAAATTTTACTTGAACTTTTCAACCCAGCAATTATAAATATTTCCAAAAAGAACAAATAATTACTTGTAAACACTTCAAAATGCGCTATTTATGTCACGGCTGTAGGCAAATAGCCACAGAATTAAAATAAGTGTAGCATCAAACATATATGCCAAATCTGTCATGTGGGGGAGTTCCACAACACCAGAGTACGCGAAATTCAATGACATTCCAAATAGTGTTTATAAATTAATTTAGAACAAATAAAACATAATAAATAAACTATTTTATTTCTTATTATGGACAGTTTGATCTATCCTTAAAAACGAATAGTGCTTATAATGAAATACAATACATTGTAAAAGCAAATATGTATGCATGATTATTCCAAATCAATCCATAATTTATTGATACCTTTAAAAAAGACTTATTTTACCAAAACTCTCCGATTTAACTTCCAGATTAAGGCAACCAGAGCAATGTGTTAAAAGTAATTGTGCAATTTTATTCAGGCATCGAAAGTGTCCCCAACTGTTGTCGTATGAAGGACAGAAAAGGTCACCTAATAACTCCTCTGATTACTGAAGTGTTATGAAAGAGATGACAAATCGATTTTGTCATTCGAAAACATTGACGACACACTTCTTCTAAATAGAATTTTATATTGTTGTCAAAGAAGTTGTATATCAAAATATTCATGGCAAACTACTGTGAGACAAAAACTATTTTTTGCACTTAGTGAATTCATATTTTCTATAGCTGTAAACAACCATTTCCTCGCACGAAAAATCGGCATATAAAATAATATATGTGTTTGCCATAAGATATTTGTAATAAGAAAATTAATAGTGACTGAGTCAGCCAACTGCGGTATTAGAAGCTATAAAAAGCTCGCCGCTATGGTAATAAAAGTGATGACGTCACAATAAAGTTTAAAATAACTTAAATATATAAGGCCAATTAGCCAGAAGAAAAAGCAACGGCCGCCGTGGTGTAGTGGTTAGCATACTAGACCGGCAATCCAGAGACCCGTGGTTCGAGTCCTGGCTGAGGCGTGCCGATTTTTCGTGCGATTTTTCTATGTATTGTTTCCTGCTCATGACTTTCTTTCTTTCATATATATTCATTCTTTGGCGGGAATGGTCTTATAAAATAATATATGTGTTTGCCATAAGATATGAGTCAGCCAACTGCGGTATTAGAAGCTATAAATAGCTCGCCGCTATGGTAATAAAAGTGATGACGTCACAATAAAGTTAAAAATAACTTAAATATATAAGGCCAATTAGCACGAAGAAAAAGCAACGGCCGCTGTGGTGTAGTGGTTAGCATACTGGACCGGCAATCCAGAGACCCGTGGTTCGAGTCCCGGCTGCGGCGTGCCGATTTTTCGTGCGATTTTTCTATATATATATATATAAAATGAGATGCCGTTACAAAATATTAAGAAAATAAACTAGTCACTCAAATATAAGGAGTTAAACGAGGGACATTCATTTACTTTTGTCACTGGAAATCTGCGGCAAAATCAAAATATACGTGCTTTGACTCGGAAGTGGATTTTCGTTCAACAGACAACCTCATTTTGTACAAATTCTTAAAATTCAGTAGAAAATGTGCTTGTTTTGACAAACCAAGGAGAAATTGGAACGAAACACTATACAACGCAGTGTGGGAGGGATGTCATATTTAAGATATTTTTTCTTAAATAGAAGAAGAAAAAATCGCATAGGAACGAGCTAAGGTGTTGCGCATGTGACTTGTGGACAGAAGCACGTTTGTTCATTTCAAACTACAAACTATATAGAGGATTTTCGTTTAGTATAAGATCGGAATATAGTTTACCGAATGAGCACCAAAATGTATATTATAGATCTCGAGAAATATGAACTTTTGGTGTTCACGAGTTGAAAAATATTTCAATCTTACACAAAACTTAACAAATTCGTTTTTATTATAAACAAAGAACGGTTTAAAAAAACATTTTAACCGAATACTAAAAGAAAAGCGCGCACCAAATAAAAAAAAACACGTTACGTCATTTACGACGTCACATAATTTAGTTTTTCCAGTATTATGCACACAGACGCTTGGGGGTCAGATCATGCCCCAAACATGATACGCCCCTTTAAACATTCTATCAAAACTATTTTAAAATTGAAACACGAAACATTAGTACAATAAAATGAATGTCGTAAAAAATTTGCGGAAATTCTCCTCAGTAACATAAGCAGTGATATTTTATCAAAAATTTAGGTTTAAGAAAGCTGGGGAAGTTTCTAAATTGGTCTGCAGTTGCTATTAAAAAGCAATACAGATACAAATTTGAATTTTGATAACCGAATTTGTCGATTGATACTTAGGGAAAAAAAAACAAAAGTAGTGAATGAATAATATTTATTTGATAATACAGACTCAACTTAAAACCGAAGCATCCGTGTAATTTTGTCATTCCTTATTCAATAAAAAGCACAAATATGTACTACTCGTAAGAGTTGATAGCATCTATTATTTTCTCATAAACCTCGTCTGTGTTGTTATTCTCGGGTCGCTGGAAAAGGTCAATGATTGCCATTTCTGAAAATTGTCTATCCAACTTCAGTTCATGTGCACATTTTCTTGTATCTGATTTTTTAAAATGTAAGAGAACCAGTATAATGTGCTTATACAGTTTTTCTGAAATAAAGAATAAATATTGAAATATATCTCAATTGCCAGTTTTGAAAATGAAAATATTTGAATATAAGTGCAAAAAAAGAGTATGCTTAACCAAAAAGAATATGTTGACTATTTCAAGTGGATCTTAATGAAACTTGAAAGCTCTTCAGCATAATGAACAAATCAATCGTAGAATCAAAACAAAATGTATCATATAGAAAAAAGTTGTTTTATTTAAAAAGAAAAGTTCTTTTGTTTAGAGTAAAGGACATCTATAAAACACATCTTGCTATCTCATACAGTGGGCTCGAATCAATTCAGGAACGGTGTCTACAAATAGTTATTTCATTTAGTTTTTTATCGTTTTTACCGTGTAAAAATGATTTTTGAGATCATAGTACATTGAAAATACCTTCAATTTCACATAAGTCGGCATTCACGTCCGATTTGACTCTAGAGTGAAGAAGACAAACAACAATAAGCTGGGCGTTTTTTCCCCCAAGTTGTCCAGAAAATGCATCAACATTCTGAACTTGTATATCCTTACTATACAGAAACCTGGCTAAAGGGTCAAGAAACCCCTCCTTTCTCACCGTCATGTCTTTGCTATATACACCAATGACCTAGTTATGTAAATAAATAAAGAAATTTTACAAAGATTAAATAAAGAATCGGAAAAAAGTAAATGAAATAACAATTTTTAATTTGACCAGATAAGTATCATATTCAATTTATTTCAGTAAGATTTACATAATGTGATACACAGACGATGAAACAGGATTTATTCACGATTTCATGAAGGATAACCTCGGATTGGCGCCTTTAATCTATTCAATCTTTAATGTTATATACTTAACCTTTTCATCCACCACAGTTTTCAAATTAACACATACTGCCTGCCGACTGCGTAGGTACATTCTCGAGGAAGGATCCTCATAGTCCAAAACCAAAATCTCAATAAGATTTCCCTGAAATAGAAATAACATAACTAAAAGGAAACACCAGTTCATAGTTATAGTTCAATCAACATTTCAATTAAAAACATAAAAATTTAGATGAATGTTTTCGAAAAGGTTACGTTTTAGTTAGACTTAAGATATTTCAAATTAGAAATTCAGTTACTTAATATGAAGAAAAAAGACCTGTACAAACCCGAGGTAACACCGATATATTTTTATGCTGCGATTCAAAATGTCTGGATAATCTCAGGTCCATTGTTAATGTAGTTTTTCCGTTATGGAGATTATAACAATGAGTTGAGACGATGTAAATTGTATCTTCAATCGGTAGACGGCCATTTATTGATTCCCTTAAGATCTTTTTCGCTTGTTTCAATTTTTCTTCAATGTTTTTCTTTATAATTTTGCAGTAGCATGTTTTACCACAAGAACATTGCTTTTCACAAAGTATACATTCAAACTCAAAACAGTTCAAGCATCTTATTTCGTTATTATTTAAGTTATGAAATGATGTTGATAAGCAAGATTCACATCTCTTGCCGAAGTTGATAATGGTTTGTGAAACTTCCTTATTTCTACCTCTAAGAGAAGCTCCCTTACTAACATTATCCTTATTTCCGTCCCGATTAGGTCTTTTAATTATTTTGCGGGAACGTTTCATTGGAGAGGGCGTTTTTATATTGTTCTGTCCAACTTCTATTTTGTTTTCGGAGTCCAATTTGGTATCATAGGTATTTGCATGATACAAATCGTCTGTTGTTTTATTGCCCTCGGATATAGCAATATATGCTTTGTTATGACCACCATTCTCTTTTACTTTGTCACTAAAATATTCATCAACGTATTCTAAGGTATTTTGAGCTTTTTCATGCGATTTCGTAGTGCCTTCTTCTTTTATGCCTTGCTGATTACTTTTATAGACGATACAATTTTCTTCCGTTTCTTTGAACATTTCGCTTTCACCTGCCTGATTTCTGATTTTAGTGTCCCTATCATTTATTCCTTGGTTTTCCTCCGAAAACTCACAATACTTTGCCATTTGATCGATAGGACCCGAAACTTTGTGATCGCTGTCAAACCTGTCTTTTTGTGAAGTGTGTTTACAGTTATGACTTTCACCACTGCTAAGAATCTTTGAACGTTTTTCAGTCTTTACTTCGGAGTTAGTCTTAGTTTCTATAGTTTCAGTCCGATCTAAGTAAGAAATACTTGTGTGATTATTAAAATTTCTCCATAATTCGTCTTGTTTTTCAGATTTTTGTGACTGCACATTATTATCTGCAATCATAAGTTCTTCCTTTCTGTAGTTTCTGTCATCTTTGAAGGCCAAAGGTTTTTTGATTAGCATGTCTTTATAATCGTGACTTTCCGTTATCTGTTGATAGGTGCTAAGACCGCTTTGACATTCAGTTTGTTTGGCCGATATATTGTCTTCAGCTGTTAGATTTTCTTTTACTCTGTCGTCGGAAAATTCTTCATTAACAAACAGTGATTTTGAAGTTACATTAACAGCTTCGTTTGATTGCTCTTGGTCATTACTTACAAAACTTGTGTCAGGTTTAGCTTTATTGTCCGCTTGAAAAAGATATTGTTCAGCTTCCTGTGCTTTTATACCACAAGATACATCCAACATTTTTGTTTCCTTACTCCTAACTTTGATATCAATACCTGGGGATATATCTAAGGGATTTGGTGATACTGTTACGTTAATTGCATGGTCGTTTGAGTTTTCGCCGAAGCAATACAAGTTACAGCTCATAGCTGTATTTTGGTTTGGCATGATAGAATGAATTTCCCTTGTATCTGTTGTATGTGTTATCGCTTGTTGTGCGGAACTAGAAGTTGTAGTTGTTTCTAAAGCAACACTTTCAGCAGAGCTCTGTGGTTTGAAGATTTTTGAAGTTATATTTTCTTGCATCCCTTCATTTGTGAGTTTCCTGTTCACTTCTTCAACGTCTGCATTTCTCCTCTCTATAGCTTTGGTAGTATTGCCTCCATGTTTTATTTTATCTTCATCATCTTCGACATTTTCGAAATCTTCTTGAATTTTGAAAAAATATTTCGGGGATTTCCCAATTTTCTCTTTAAAAATTTTCTTTGGGGTAATAATACCATTATTAGTGTCTTACAATTCCGCCGATTAGCCAAAATTTTCCTTTTGCTTTCACTTTCTGCGGGACATTCAATATAGCCCTGTATGAACATTTTTTTTTAAATTTTAATCGTTTACTAACGCTTAAAAAAAAAAACCCGCATCAATACGATTGTTTATAAACCAGAATTACAATTCTAGCCCATCAATATTAATTAATCGCAATAGAAATGCGCTGAATATGTAAATCGAGTTATATCTTTAAGTACATGAAACAGTTATGACAAATCAAATGCCCAAGACAAGAGATAAACTATCGCTTAGGTTGATAGTATACTAATAATTTATTACAAAAAGATAATGTTTATTTTTACCTTAATGAAATAAAGAATAAAACACAAAATATGTTAATTTTAAACGAAATGAAATTAACTTAGAACGTTTGCTTTAAGTCATGGGCAGAAAAAAAAACTGTTTCATAGAATTAATATAAACTTGATAAAGGCTTATAATATGATAATAAAGGTATTTTAAGAGAAAAAGGTATGGGGCACTATTTTGTATTTTGAGTTACTTTAGGACAATACGATTGCAAAAAAGGGAGACACTTATAGACACTTATACACAGGTTAACAAATCTTATTTTCACTTTTTTCTATTACTTTTTCTTCATCCAAATACTTGTGCAATTCCGTAAAACAGCTTTGTTACATTTTCCAGTTTGCTTAAAGGGATTAGAAAGGAAACTTGCATTGTTTCGAATTTTGAAATTTTGCACAATGACTCAAAAGTCAGGTACATAAAAATAAAATTAAAGGTAAAATATATCTGTGAAAAACATCAGAGAAATGTTCGTGTACTAAGATCATGCAAAGTTTTAAAAAAAAATTTCTGTCTATATATTTATATGAGAACTCCAAAAAAGATTAACACCAAAAATGACAAAATTTGTATAATGGTTAATTAAGTTTCGTTTCGTTTCGTTTGTTTTGGGTTTTACGTCACATCGACACAGTATAGGTCATATCGCGACGTTCCAGCTTTACTGGTAGAGGAAGACCTCAGGTGCCCTGCCGTGCATTATTTCAGGCACGAACGGGCACCTGAGTAGAACCACCGACGTTCCGTCAAATGGTTAATTAAGAGCGAGAGAAAGAGTAGCAGGTAATACGAGCAATGTTTTTTGAGCACTTAAGTTTTTCAATATCAGAACCTTCGACAGAAATCAATTGAAAGCATATTAAATACATTTCTTAAACGCCACACTGATGTGCAATCGTTATAAATTTATGTTGAAGTAAATGCACTTTGATACTCTTGATATCACTTGAAAAGCTTTCAAATTATTATATTGATAAAGAAAAGATTAAGATACTTAACTTATCCACAACTGAAGGTGTTCAAGTATTCGGTACAAGAGATAGATATTGTCAAAGTTACAAAGTCTAAAGGTATCTCAGGTAGGTAAATTGGTTCATGCGTGCCTGTTACTGACATCATGTGAGTTGTGTCCTTAATGTACATTTCCGTCGCATGGTCTCATATGCCTTCTCTTAACCTACTTAGAAAAAGATACAAGATGAAGGTAAAGCCTATATCGTATCAACTTTTAATAAAACGAAACAAAATATTATATAATTAAAGAGAAGCAACTCTGTTGTTTGAAAGTATGCCGTACATGAATTGTGTACCATTTATCACTTGATGTGTTAAATATAAAGAAAGCAACAAAGCAAAAAGAGCCTTTGCATCCCTATTTTTGTCTCTTACATTAGTAGCTGAATAGCCCTTTCTCATATTAACATCTATGTCCAGATGTATTTTAATGTTTGTCGCTGACAGGAAGAATGATTCGTAGACCAAACCAAAGTTGAGGGAAGATGTAATCGTCAGATTTAAAAATAACTTTGTGCAAACAGAAGTAAAAGGCTAATTGAAACATGAAAATTAAACAACTCTTACTACTCGTAAATTACTTATATTGCTCACGGCTATAAACGAATAGTAAAGAATTAATTCTAGTTTTGTATTATGTGTTTTGTCAGGGCAGACATGTTTTATATATAAATTATCAATGTCACAACGAAACTTATTTAACATAAGTGTGTATATATGCTATTGTGACAGGCAGGTGAAGTAGGTGTATCATTGTGATATAGCACATCTCTAGTAAACTTAGAAATGTTGGATCAAACTTTAGGTACAACATCAGTCTCTTCTCTTCAAAACAATTGAAAGTTTTCATTTGAATTCTGATACATATCTTATAGGCAAAGTAAGTGGTGTTCACTATATCGTGAGCACGAGTTACAATGTCGTGCTAACAAGCTACTAAGTCGTGCGCACGAGATAATTTACTCGTGCGCACCAGAAACTATGTGATGAGCACGAGTAACTATGTCGTGTCCACAAGTTTTTATGTCGTGTGCACGAGTTACTCAATCATGCGCACAGGTTATCATGCCATTCGATCGAAAAAATTTAGTCGTACGCACGATTTGCTAGGTCGTGAGCATAAGTGACTATACCGTGCATATCGTGACGAGTTACTTAAACTTTTGCACGAAATAATTATGTCGTGTACATGAGTTACTAATGAGTTATAAATAACTAGTGCTCATAATTTAGCAACTCGTCCGCTCAATATAATTATCTCGTAAACAAGAAATAGTTACTCTTGCACACGACTTTTAATTATCTCATGCGCACGGACTAAGTAACTCATGCGCACAATATAATTATCTCGTGCGCACCACCTAGTAACTAGTGCGCACGGACAGAGCAACTGTGCTCATGACTTAATTTTCCCATGCAATGAAAACGTAACTTGTTCGAACGACATAGTAAATCGTGCTCACAACATAGTCACTTGTGCGCACGACTAAATAATCTGGTGCGAAAGACTAAGTTACTTGTTTGTACGACATAGTAACTCGTGCTTACGACAAGTATCTCGTGCGCATGACATAAATTAAAACATGCACATGTCACCTCTGTGCCACCGTACAATGAACTCAATCAGAACATGATAATTAGCAGAAGAATTCAGCAATTTCAAATATAAAAACTTATTTCATGCTTTCCAGTGTTTAATCACAATATATAAGATGATTATATTCTGATAAACCACTAGTGAAATTTATAAAATATAATTTTCACTGTAGCCAGACTATATCTGAATGCGGATGAAAAGAAAATCATAACCAAATGGAATAACAGGCAGAAATAAATGCCGTCATATGTAAATTTGCTTATTTAGGAAAAGAAAGTCAATGTCATCATACATTATGCTAAAAATTTAACAAATTTAGAGAAATTTAACAGAACTATATTTCAAAACTTATGATGTAACGTCATGATATAATGACGTCACAAAGGAAAATGCGCGACGTTACGCGGCAAAATCAGTAAAAAAAATACTTAAAATCACTTTAAAAGCATAAAATAAAAAGAAAATTTATTTGTTTTACAAATAAGATTGAAATATATTTCATTCGTGAACACCAGCTTTTATATTTTCACTCGTGGCTACGCCACTCGTGAAAATATTGCATCTGGTGTTCACTCAGTGAAATTATATTTCAATCTTACATGCAAAACAAACAAATATCCTCTATCTATCTAAAAGTGTGCAATGAAAACAAAGTTATACAAAAATCCTTCTATGTCACAAACTTTGCGATTTTTTTTTGCAAGTTAAACATGATTTGATTCTTTACATATTTTTGTAATTTTATAAACTATAATAGTTAAGTTTAAATGGAACATTTTTTTCATTTGAGTATACTCCTGACTTTGTTTAAATAATAAGAAAACTCCTTAGAAATGTATTATTTTATTGTAAACTTCTTTTTCTTTTTCCATCCGCATGTTTTATATGTTTTTCTTGGTTATTTCCCCACGTTTTATTAAAACAATGTAATATATAAGCTGGGATGATTTAGCATACAAGCCAGAAATTCTTTAGGTTCTAAGTGTGTAAGGATATTATTTGGACATTTAAATTCATTTACTTTCTGTAGTTATACTTAAAGATAAAAAAGTGTTTTATATGAGTAATGTTAACAATGGCGTCTTAAAATAAAATGTAAAGGATAGCTTTAAAAAATCTGAATGGAAATCAAACGTCTTAAAATAAAATGTAAAGGATAGCTTTAAAAAATCTGAATGGAAATCAAACTAGGAGAAAGCCGTATTTAACAAACTTCCTGATTTAATGTGGTATTTCATGATTTTTATCACTTCTTAACCGTATTGATCAAATGGTTCATCTTTGCTTCCGAATGGACTATTGTTACATATTAGGACACACTGTTTTAATTTGTATAGCTTGCAATGAATATTTCACTCTCAAATATTTACGACTTAAATTCCATTATCGTGCATAGGTCCGTGGGATAAATTCATTGAGTTTAATGCACTTATAAAGTTTGTTGCAATAAGTTCCATCAAAAAAAACATTATATATTATTATAGAGTTATAAACGTCTATGTCTAATAAAACATTCTATTAATTTAATAACACCAGCAAAACTTGCATATTTGACATGAATTAGTATAAGGATATAAAAATCAACAAAAACCTTTAGGAAATAGAAAAACAAAAATTGTTTGTAGTGATACAAAATTAAAAATTACAAAGTTTTTTTAGAATTCATGCCATCGGGATTGATTGTACCAAGCATTTACATCTAGTAATCTTTTCCACACTTGATTAATTGGCATGAATGGAAAGTCTTTAATATATTGTTCTTCAGAATTATAATGTTCATATACATTGGTAAAGATGATTAAGATTTTTCTGACATGCCAACTGAAGTCATGTCAAGTGACAGTTGATGAAAATGGTCGCCTACATGAAGTAGAAGAGTTCATAATGGGCAAAGTAACACATTGACAATATTGCCCTGGTTAAAATATAAGACGTTTCTTTACATAATAAGATTTTTTTTGCGATTTAGTCAGTATAGACTACATACGAATATAATCTGTCATAAAATTTACGCAATTCAATTTCACCAAAAATGTGAATAATGCATTTGGAATTAACAATATTTCATGTTATTCCTATTTAATCTTGAACATTATTTATTCTGTCTGCTGTGATGCTTCGTATATATAAATAGTAACACATGTTTCTTCTCATGAGGTGTTACGTGTTTAGAGGCCATTTCCTTGCTTCTTCCTGAGAGTCGGCTATTTTCGGAACATCAATATACAGTAAATGGAATACTTAGCAAGAAAAAGTTGGTAAAACAATTAAACATTGCAGCATTCATCTTTAATTAAAGGAAAAACAACCAATCAATCTTAAAATTCAAAATTTAAACAATTGAAACAAACAAAAAGAACTTTTCGAGAAACCTTGTTAAATTTGCTTAGCTGTTTTCCAATATTATTTTCTTATTAATATTTTAGCAGCTCAATTAAAGATAGTTTCTTTGATCGTTTGATACTTATATATACTTAGTGATAGATTTATAACAATAAATTAGCATTTACATCAATAAAAAGGAAGTGATTATTATAGTGATTCAATGGTCTTATAAATAAAAATAATACATGAAACGACAATAAGGAAATTGCAGTGAGTATATTCCACTTAAGTTTATAATAATTTCAATATAATACATGCATATTGTCACTTCTTCTCTTTTCATAATGATTTAAATAAATGGAACCACCCACAATATTTGAAGCATAAAAATAGTTTCTAAAATATCAAATAGGTAAATATGTTTATAAGTAGATTTACATTTTTTCTGTTTTTTTTTTTCTATATTATTAATAGAGATATTATATAGAACTTTTATCAGACTCGAGTAGAATTTGATAGCATAGAATCTCGTTAGTGTCTTGTGTGATTCGTTTTAGTAAAAACCATGAGAGTTTAAAACAATTAATAGATCAAGATACTCTTGTATAACGCTTTTATTGCATACCATGTCCACTTTAAAGTATGTAATTTATTTAACCATCAAGAACTGGTGAACATATGAAAGAATGATACATACAAAGCAGTTGTTTGATTTAAATATATATCATAAACTGGTATCAACATTATTCCTTCATATATGTCAAATTAAACTGTCTTTTAAAAGGGTTTAAATATGTACTGTAAGTGCTATAGAACAGTTTTAAAATAATAATGACCCAAAAATTATAAAATTAAAAAACATTGTTTTTTATAATAGCAGCATCGATCATATTTTTATCTTAAGAAAAATCTTACACCAAATGACTATTTGAATGATCAATTATACTCAAAAGGGCATTGACATCAACGAATTGCCTCTTGAAAATGTCTTTCGATTGAATTATTTATATTGCGTTGGAACCAGCTTTGCAGATTTTGTCTATTAAAGATAAAATAGTTACAAGCAAAAGATTTGTAAATTGACGCCATATTTATGAATGATGCAGACTACTGTTACATTGATTTTTCAGTCCAATGGTCTAATGGTATAAGTTGATCAATGGTTAATGATACATGGATGGAAAACTTCAGAGATGTTATATTTCCGATCCTTAAAGATCGTTCAGCACGACATTATTGCTGTAGTTGTGGTATTTTTTGTTTTAACTTTTTGGCATTTTCTAGTTGAGTGGATATAATGTTGAATAACCCCAAGGATATGTTGCCTGCTTTTAAACTTTGTCTTTTGACGTCTTATCTGTGATATGCAGGCTTCATAACCTCTGATCCCTTTCAAAATTCCATTTTGTTTAGTTCCGCCCATTGCTTTCTTGTTTAGGGCATATGTTTTCTTTTACTTGGGGACCATAGGCCGCTTTTCAAGGAATGGCACGGCAGTGTCACATTAAAGGTTCCATGATAACCGCCGAAAGAACACATCTGTAGATGTTTCTAATTCAAAATTCTGCCATTTCATGTTTAAATGTTGAATTCTGCTTAAGCCGTTGCTGGGGGCGTGGACGGTAGTTTGCCCTTGACAGTACCATCCATGAACAAGCTCAATCAAACCGAGCCTGCATTATTTTCAGTTTTTGCATTTTTTGACTTTCTTGGGGATTCTTATTTTTTCTATTTTATCGCCACATCAATATTGTTTGTGCGTGTGGAGGTTGTAAATAGTCGCCCAGTACATTCAATTGGAGATGTTATATTTCCGATCCTTATGAATCGTTCAGCACGGCAATATGGTGGTGATTGTGGTATTTTTTGTTTTAACTTTGGCATTTTCATAACATCTGATCCCTTTTCAAATTTCCATTTTGATTAGTTCCGCCCATTGTTTTCTCGTTTAGGGCATATGCTTTCTATAACTTGGGGACCATACGCCGCTTTTCATGGAATGGCACGGAAGTGTCACATTGAAGGTTCATTGATAACCTCCGTATGAACACATCTGTGGATATTTATAAATTCAAAATTTTTGCCATTTCATGCTTAAATGTTGAATTCTTCTTAAGCCGGTGCCGGTGGGTATGGACAGTAGTTTTGCACTTAACAGCACCGTCAATGAACAGGGCATCAACTGCAACATTTTCAATTTTGCCTTTTTGAACTATCTTTAGGGATCCTTATTTTCTCTATTTCATGATTATTTAGACAGCTAATTATCAATTGTTGAAACAGTTTGAATCTTTTAATTTGATTATGGAATATTTATATACTGATAACAATTCTTCTAAAAAGTAACTTTAATGAACATAACGGAAATATCATTATCAATGACTCTGTATCGCCCACAAAATGTGAGCAATAAGACATCTCTGTAATGAATTAGAGTTTATGTAAATGTGTGTAGCTATTTATGATATCTGATTAATTTTATGATTAAAGACATTTTAAGGTTAATCTTTACTCGAGATGTTATGTAAACTGCACAATACTATTGCAAAAGGAACTATAAATTGCAAGTCACATTATGTAACTTAACAATTATTTGATGTCTATTAAGCCTTCTTAAATGTAAGATTAAAGATGTAAGGATATTTATATGTTCTGTTATTGTCGGATAGGGTACTATACTACGATAATAATGTACAACACGTTGTGTCTGGTTTATACGTCTATTCAAACTACTAACTATTATATTTGCAAAACATAGGAAGTGACGTACTCTAACGTCACGCATACGTTGGCGTCATTTAATGGCACATGCATTAGCGCCATTCCGAACATTCTGGGGGCCGCAAAAATGATAAAATTATTAAAAATTATATCAGTCAATTTCATCAAATCTATATATAACTCTTTTCTAAAATACATTTAAATAAAAAGTCATTGTTTTAAAATAACGTAAATGTCTCTCTTATTCATGATTAATACATCTCTTAAAAATTTATAGTCTATTTTCGCGATATTAATGAAATTTTATCAATTTGACTGCCTATAATGTTTATCAATTTACTCTTTCTCATTTATCTCTAACGGATAAAGTTTAGCAATGGGTCTAGTTGTATGATCACTTCCGGTACGAATCTTTGCTGCTCTGATCAATCCATTGCGACCGGGCATCAATTCGTCTACCACGGCAAGTTTCCAACGTATTCTAGGACATTCCTCGCGCACCTGTACTACGTCACCAACGCGTATCGTCTGCTCGTTATGACCACTCTTTGTATGTCGTTCACGTAATGAGTCAGATAATCAAATTTCCATGTTTTCCAAACTTTTTTAACTAACACACGCTGCACTCGAAATCGTTTTTGTTATGGAACTACTGGTACCTTCTGTGTGTCGGTGTTGTCAGGTAATTCTGTTAACCTCCGACCATGGAGTAAGTGTGTAGGAGTAAGCGGTTCTGGATCTAACGTATCTGACGTTACGTAAGTAAGTGGTCGGTCGTTGAGAATGGCTTCAATCTCGGTAAGTATCGTCTGCAGAACTACGAACGTAACGAATGATCGACCAAGTACTTTCTTTAAAGCTGTTCTTAACAAGTCCAAAATTTATTCTCTCCCACCATCCAAAAAAAACCACGGGGCCCCGTTTTGGTATTTAATCGCCAAACCTTCAGTTTTTTTTAAAGCCAAAAGCTGTTCCTTTCAATGTTTGTGTGATTCTAACAAGGACTTTAAAGTGTTTTGATGCTGCTTTGGGAATGTCGTTCGTTGTCAGGACATTATTGAGTTTAGGCAGTGGACCGTTCTGCCTAACAAATCTCTGAAATGCTTGGGCATAAATGGTTTCTTCTTGAAAGGGTTCAATGCACAAGTTCTTAAGTTGTACAGCTCGGGGGATTGCCATTGTAAACAAGCATTTAATAAGGGCCTTTTGACTCCCTATCGGTTCCTTCTCGGACATAAAGTGCCCGCTGAAATCTAAACCTGTAACTGTGAATGGTGGTGAGCCTTTCAACTCCTGAATGGCTGGTAACGGTGGTGGATCTGGTACAATGTTAGGGTTTATAATTTTTACTTTATGACAAGTCGTAATTTTCTGAGTTTTGATTTTACAACATTTTCGTTATCACAGGAATCCAAATGTCTGTTCGTTTTTGATATATTAGTAGGCCACTTTTCCGAGAAATGAATTTTTTTTTTCATGTTGCATCAAAAGTTGATTGTCGCGTTCAGAGGATGTTGGCTGGCAGTTAAAATAGGGAAATTTTGATTTTCATTCTATAGGTGCATTGGTGTATTTTTACCCCCACATCTGATAAAACCCCATCTTGCGTCTAGGTTAAAGTAAATCGTAACTTTCGTACCAATGGAAGTCGTGATTTACCAGATTTCAAATTGTTTATCACTTCCTTGTAAGTATTATACTGACAATGTCGAATCAGTTTCATTTTAGCTTTAAATAGTTCTGGGTTGCTGTTATGCCTCGCGTAATAAGATCAGCTGGATTTTGTTGGGTAGGACAGTATTTCCACTTCCGGTTAAATGTTAGTTCTCGGATTTCATTTACTCTATTCTGTATGAATCTCTTCATGCTTTTTGTTGTGTTCAACCAATGTAGTACGATTTGGCTGTCTGACCAAAATATAATTTCCTGTACTTCCATAGCTTGTTGTAGATGATTTGCTATATGAGCGCCTATTACTGCAGCCATAAGCTCCAACTTGGGTAAACTGAGTTTCTTCAACGGTGCAACGCGCGATTTTGCCAAAATGAGTTTTGATTCATGGTTTCTGCACAAGTATGCTACTGCACCATAAGCTTGGATACTGGAATCAACAAAACATGTAGTACTGTGTCTATTGCTGTTACGCACTTGTCGTCTGCTACCGATGAACAAAATATATGTCTAGAGAATCTTGTATTTTTTACATTGTTGATATTACGTTGGCGCCATTTTTGCTGGATATTATCAGGTAAAATTGTATCCCATGGCAACTTCTCTTTCCACAATTCTTGTAGCAAAATTTTTGCACATATCAATATCGGACTAAGTAAGCCAAGTGGGTCATATACTCTCGATGTGTACTGTAAAATAGCTCGTTTAGTCACATTATCGAAAATAGGAATGTCTCTATCTGGGTATGATATCTCGTCTGTTTCTGTATACCATAACATGCCTAACACTTTCGTTACCTTATTGTTGTCAAGCACACCTTCTTCTGTAGCGGTTCCTTGCAGTCTGCGATTATTAGATGCCCATGACTTCAAGTTAAGCCTCCTTGTAACATTAGGTCTCTTGTATCTCGGAAATACCCCTTAAAACTTCCTCTTCAGTGCGAAAACTTGATAATATGTTGTCTACGTATAGGTCTCGCTTCAAGATTTTACTGACCCAGCTGGTATCGTTCATGCCTAGATGTTTGAGTAATGTAGCGCTGAGTATAAACGGTGAGCACGTGGCACCAAATAGGACTGATTTAAATCTATATGTTGTTCGCGGGCTGTCAGCATTATCCAGATTGCTCAACCAAAGGAATCTGGTTACATCTCTGTCATATTTATGTAACTGTACATTGAGAAAAGCCTTTTCTATGTCAGTTGAGATTTTTCTCTAGTCTAAACCGAACCATTATGAGTGTTAAGTCATTCATTATGGGTTGGGTGGAATCAAGGCAGTCGTTCAAACTAGGTTTATTAGCTGATTCACGGCAACTGCAGTCGTACACAATACGAATTGGAGTCGTAGTTGAATCTTTCTTGACTGCATGATGGGGTATATAATGCACTTGGGTCGATATTTTCTCGTTCTCGTCAACTTTTTCTATGAAACCTCGCTGTACTTGATCTTGTATTATCTCTGCGTATTTCTGTAAGATACTGGGGTCTCGGCGGAGGCGTTTAATCAAAGATTCTGTTCTTCTTTTTGTCACGTCGTAATTTGTCAGGAGAGTGATGGGTCCTCTTTCCATGGAATTTTGGCTTCATATTTACCTCTGTAAACTTTACACAGTTTTGTTTGTATATCTCTAATGTGTCAGTATAATCGTCTTCTGCGGGGTTTATTCCTAGGGACTCAAGTTTCCAAAATCTGTCAATATCTGTACTCATTACATTCATAACTAAATAACTCTGATTCCTTGGTCCATGCGCTTGAACTGGACAGTAAGTATCCAATACTAGAACTAACTGCTGTAGGACCATCTCCTCGAATCGTCTCGTTTCCTACGATATTTAGTACTGGTCAGCTCCGATCAATATCGATATTTCAAAACTGTCTTCATTTAAAACTGGATGTGCTAATTTTAATTTTCTTAGGTGGGGTAACGACGTCAAGGACTGGGGAATGTGACGTAGTGGGACGGCGATTGTTGGGACGATCATCACTTCCAGGGATAAATTGTCACCTGCATCGGTCAGTAGATATATGGTCGTAGTGTCTAAATGTCGTAGTTTCTGCGATGAATCTCCAAATGCTGCCAAACTAATGGCACTGCTTCCACGTGGCTGAACATTTAATCTTTTGGCTAGTTTTTCATAAATAAAGGATCTCTGTGCCCCTTCATCAAAAAGAATGTTTGACTGCGCGAACTGTGTGTCAGAACATACTTGAGCGACAGCTGTTTTTAATAAAACGTCTGGTCGGGTTTCGGATCTTGAGTGTAAAATTGTTGCCTGTATTTGAGCGGAGGTATCACTTCCGGTTGAAGGTAGGTTTGCCGGGCAAGTATCTATATTCGGCCTTGAATCTGGACAAATTTCACATATACATGTACTAGTATGGTGTTTTCTTTTACATTTCAAGCATCTGAAGTGTGATCGGCAGTTAATTACTTGGTGATTTTTCAAACAATTAAAACATAAATGCTTCTTTCTTAATAGGTCCTTTTTAACCCTCACATCAATTAATTTTGTGCAATCGTTAGCATGGTGATTTTCATTGCAGTAAATACACTTTCTCTGATCAATAAGCGTTTTGTGCATCCGTCTGTGTAACACGTGACTTCCGGCTTCCGATTTCCGTCTAGCGCCCGTGAAAAACGACGCTGTAGCTCTATAACCAGCTAAATCAACTGTAGTCTGCCCGGCCTTCATGATATTCAGTTCACGATATAACGCTTTTCGTTAAGTCATCCTGGTCACGGCACCAATGTCGGATAGGGTACTAACTACGATAATAATGTACAACACGTTGTGTCTGGTTTATACGTCTATTTAAACTACTAACTATTATATTGCAAAACATAGGAAGTGACGTACTCTAACGTCACGCATACGTTGGCGTCATTTAACTGCACATGCATTAGCGCAATTCCCGACATTTATGTTGATTTACATCGAATAAAGTGACGATGGTAGTTCTAAAATATTAAGAACATTGTCAGTGTATTTTGTATTAACTGAAAGCATTTTAAACAAATATTCAGTAAGGATATTCTAACAAAAATCAAGCTTTATCGTATTCGTGATCTTGTTATAAAATTTAAACATTAAATAAGGCACAAATGTTGTAGTGTTGGTTTTTTGTGTCATTATTCAAAGACAGAAATGAGCACTTTTTTACCTAAGTATATAAATCCTATATATATAAATACATCTTAATACATCTAAAGATAATAAATATTATGTTTCTAATACTGTGTTATCTTATTTCTGTTGCGATAAGTCAGATTTTCTTCTTTTTCCCACACCGAATCTTATCATTATGTGAAAGTAAGTAAAATAGAGAAAATAAGAATCCCTAAAGAAAGTCCAAAACGGCTAAATAAAGAAAGTCCAAAACGACTAAATTGAAAATGTTGCAGGCTCGGTTTGATTGATTGTGTCTAA